TTTTTTTTTTTGGTACCGGGGATCGAACTTGGGTCCTTGCGCTTGCGCAGCAGGCAGCGAAACCACTGGGCTAAATCCCCGGCCCTACAGGGTCACAAATTTGAATGAGTTGTTTTATTTTTCATTTAGCATCTTCAGTATATTAATTTTAAAACATTGCCGGGATTACAGGCTTCCTTGTAAAATGCCTTTTCCAGAAATTCTTTCCCAGTGACGGGTCTCCAGGGAAAGAGAGTATTCTCCCCGAAGTTCTCCTTCTGCCCTTACAAAAACGTAGCAGATGTGTTTTGAATCCAACAGGTGAATTACCGTGCTGATTATGAGAAAAATAAGTTGAATTACACACTGCCGCAGGACGTGCCTCAGCTGGTGAAGGCCAGGACCAATGCTGAGCTCTTCAGCGAGGTGAGCACCCACATGGGGAAATGCAGTGGGGGTTGTGTGTAGCTGTGAAAATGAAGATACCAGGATGTTCCAGCAGGTGGGAAATATTCTTTTCCTGAGCGACGTTCATCGAAGGTATCATCGTGTAGTCATTTTGAGTTTTACCATCACATGGCACACTGTGGTTCACTAAGGATGAATTGATGATAACAATTTGATTCTCATTATATGAGCACATGTATCATGTGTGTGAACACACACACAAACCCATCGCCACCACCATTATTGTCATCATCCTGGTGACTGCTAACAGTGGATTTGCTGTGCGGAGGAAATTTAAGTCTTAAGAAGAACAATCTTAATCAGCCAAGTCTCTTGGAGTCACTAGTGGCCTGTGATTAGGCTTCTTATACCAGATGAGATTTGTGCACAAGGAGAAGAAAAAAAAGAATCTAATGGTTTTTGAAAGCCGGTTCTATACTGTGATAGGTGATATGAGGTGAGACGTTACAGAGTTATAACCCCTAGAAGTATTGTAGAGACACAGTTGGTAACAAGGGCTTTGGTATCTGCTAGGCCTGGGTTCAGACGTTGCCATGACTTTTTTTTACCTGCCCGATCCTAGGTGAGCTCTTTAATTTCTCCAAGCTTTACAGGCCTGATGTGACAATTTGGAGTTACTGAGTTGGAAGCACAGGAAAGGGCTAGGAAATAGTGAGGTATTAATAATGTCAATACAGTACATCAGTGCTGCACTTTATCAGTGTAGAATTTGTTTCTGTAGACCATATCCAGTTTTCTCCCACAGCAACCCTGAGCACAGTAATATGATGTTCCTTTTGTAAATGGTAAACTGAGGCCCAAAGAGGTACTTAATTACCCCAAGTTACATGACTAGGAAATAACAGAGCACATTAGGAGCACATGGGTCCTCTTGTGTCCTGACCCATTACCATGGCCCCATGTGGCCCTGTGGCTAAGGAACTGATGCACTGTGTTAAGAATTATTACTACCAGTTTGATAATAACAACTAGGGCTCTGGGCTGTACCTAGTTGATGAAATCAACTTTGCTTTAAGGAAAAATCCTCTTCCACCTTTGGCAGGAATATTGTTCACTTGTGTTTTGTTTTTCAGGTTAAGTACAAAGAAGGCTGGGAGAGGACAAAGGGAAAAGGGTTTGAGATGAAGCTGGATGCCATGTCTCTGTTGGCCGCCAAAGCCTCCGGGGAGCTTGCTAGCAATGTAGGTTTTCTCTCATTAACTCAGAAATGCGTAAGGCCTGACTCCAGTAAAGTGTCAGTGGTCCTGCTGAAAAAAGTAATGACTGTTAACATTGTAAACATCACAATACTTTGATCTTTTTGTGGATTCGCAGAAGACTGGGAGGTGTTTTATCAGAATTGTTCTTTTGCGCTTGTTAAACCAAAGCCCCATAGATGGCAAAGTTGCTCCCTCACTCACAGTAGACTTTCGTCTTTCTCTCAAGATTAAATACAAAGAAGAATATGAAAAAACAAAAGGCAAAGCCATAGGAACTACTGACTCAAAGCTTCTGCACTCCCTGCAGGTGGCCAAAATGAGCAGTGAGGTAAATACTTTCTTCCTTCTACCCCCAGCCTCTTACTTACAGTTGTGTGACATTCAAAGTTTTCTCCGGGCCTACTTCACCAGGAACTGCTACCTTTTTTATTGACTTCTACCTGCAACTCTTCTTTCCTGGCTTGTTATTGGGTTTCTTTATTTTGCCAATGCACACTATTCTTTTAAAGCAGATGAGGAGGGTGGCTGTAAGGCTGACAGCATCTTCTGATCAAGGTGCAAATACGTTTGGCCACATTTATTTATGGCATAGATGTTCACAAGCAATTACTATGGACAAAATTCTGTATGAGGTGCTGAGGCTACAAGACCGAATACGTCATAATAAGTTCCTCCCTTAAGGAGCTTAGCTTTCCTGAGAGACTGTCCCAGTCCACTTCCTGTTGCCATAACAGAATGCCTGAGGCTGGTAACTTATAAAGAAAAAAATTTATTTTGATACACAGTTCTGGAGGCTGGAGAGTCCAATATTGAGCAGTTGCACCATGGTGAGGGCCTGTGTTACATCATAATGTAGTGGGAAAAAGTGGAAGGGCAAGAGGGTTTGGGTAAGAGATAGAACACAAGAGGTGGCCTTGCTTTATGATAAACCATTCTCATAATAACTAATCCAGTCCCCTTGGGGAAAATGAGCCCTAAGATAAATGACAACACTTCTGGAGGTCACCCATCTGGAAAAAGAAGGTCAAGTTTGAATGCAGACCAAACTTTATTATTGGGACTTTTAAAGCCTCTGCAGAAACCACAGATAAGGTGTCTCCTCCTGGAGCAGCCAGGTAAAGAGAGTTCAGACTGGTGAGAGACAGACCTGCCAGAGATGAGGTAGTATGAAACCATAGCTCCCCAGAAACACTGCCTTATAGGACCTGGGAGAGACTTTTGGTCACAGATGATGACCTTGCTCAGAATACCTCTTCCTCCCAAAAGCCTGGGTATCTTTGTTGCATTTTAACATCACTACAGCCAGAGCAGGCTCTAACTAATCAGCTTTGTTTGGTCCATGCAAGGTTGAGTACAAAAAAGGCTTTGAAGAGAGTAAGACCCACTTCCACCTGCCCATGGACATGGTCAACATCAGGCATGCTAAGAAGGCCCAAGCTCTCGCCAGCGACCTGGACTATAGGAAGAAACTGCATGAATATACCATGCTGCCTGAAGATTTGAGGACTCAGTGGGCCAAGAAAGCCTATGGACTCCAGAGCGAGGTAAGCCTCACCCAGTGCTGGCTCTTCCCATGTGTCTTGCAATTGGAAGATACAGTCTCAGAATGATTTCAACCTGTGCATGAGTCTATTACATAACTCAAAGGACTAGGAAGAACTGCTGGAAATGTGCTGGGCCCGAGGCAGAAAGGTGAGGAGGTAGAGTCAAAGCAATGGAGACTTGAGGATGGAGGAATGGGGCTCAGAGCCGTGGTGAAAGTCAGGATGTGTTGGTAGTGGTCAAGAGCAAAGGAGAAGCAAATGAAAAGGGTAAGTAAATCTTGTAATTTTAGTAGCTTGGCAAAGAAGGTCCTTTGTCAAAAAATAGGAGAAATGCTTTCCTTGGTAAGGCTGGGGTCTGTCAGCACTAAGGTAGATCATGCTGTTCTCATTACAAGGTGGGCCCAGTGGCCTTACCTCACAGGTAGAGGTCTGCCTGGCTATAGAGGAGGAGGGAGAAGTTCTTCTGGATCGACAAATCCAGGACCGAGGCTTTCCTAGCTCTGTTCACTGTGTCCTATATGCATGCATGTTGACATCTGATGAACCCTCAGTGGCTTTCTCTTGCAGCTACAGTACAAGGCTGACCTGGCATGGATGAAGGGAGTCGGGTGGCTGACTGAGGGGAGTCTCAATCTGGAACAGGCCAAGAAGGCTGGACAGCTGGTCAGCGAGGTAACCTGAGCCGAGGCCCCTGGCCTCCAGGAACTCTTAGCCTTCAAGTCACAGACTGATCTCTCCCTCTCCTCCCCCTCCCCTGTTTTGTATTTTGGATGTGATTCAAAGGGGAGTACTTACTTCATGGTTGTGTGGCTGTAACACACCCTGAAAATAACAGGAGAGGTATTTTGAAGAAGTCTACCAATTTAAGGAGCATGTGCATGCAAAGAACAACTTGGTGTAAAAAGATTGTTCGGGTTGAGCATCTTTAGTTTGAAAATGTAAAATCCAAAACACTCTCAAATCCAAAACTTTTTGAGCACCAACATGATGCCACAAATAGAAATTTCCACACCATGAAATTTTGTTTCATGCACAAAAATATTGTATAAAAGCTACCTTAAAGCTATCTGTATAAGGTGGATCTGAAACAAATGAATTTTGTGTTTGGACTTGAGTCCCATCCCCAAGATATCTCATTTTGTATAGGAAAATATTATAAAATCTGAAAAAATCTGAAATCCAAAGCACTTTTGGTCTTTTGCATTTTGGATAAGGGCTACTCAACCTGTAGTGCTTTCCTTGTGCTAGGGATACGTTATTCCTTCCAAAACAGAGTGTAATATTTTGAGGTGAGCATTCTTCTTATGCTGTGCATTAAACTCCTTGCAGACTTTGGACAAGTAACCTCCCCGACCCTTTTTTCCCTCACACAAAAACAAGAAGTTTGAACAAGATACTCCCCAAGAGCTCTGTGGGCCCAAGGCTGTTCAGCTGTTTGCACCATAGAAGGCTGGCTTTGGCAACAGACAGAGGAGGACTTTTGAAGGACATTTCGTTTGGAAGTGTGACTATTTCAGGAACTTTGTTTGGGATCTTCAACAGGGATTCTTGTTTCAGGGCCATGGAGGCTGAGTTGGCATGTCTCTTGCCAATGATAATAGTGGTGATAAAATATCCACCATTTATGGACTGATGATGATTATTCAATTACTGGTGTAGCTGAAGGACCATTTTGAGTGTGTTAATATGCATTTCTATTTGTAGGTCATAATGGTCCCATGTTAGTAGGTGTATGGTTATCCTATTAATATTCCCATTTTACATATAAGGAAAGTGACTTACTTCAAGTAAGTAGTAGAACTGGGGTCTGTACTCAGCCTGTGTGGCTGAGTGTCCTATAGCTTTGGTCCCTTAGGCAATATTGTGTCCCCAAAACATGTTTTGTAATTTATTCTTGTCTTTCCACCGTATTCACCCTTCTCTCAGACAAAGACACATTTAGAACTAGAATACAGTATGAAATAAGGAGGGTAGAGACAAAAGAAAAACTATTTGGGGTTCCTATTACCTAGCTTCTTTGAGACTAGCTGAAATTCAGGTGGTGCCAGAAGAGCCCCATGTGCCTTGGATAGATAGGAGAGCACTGGGCTGGAGGGGGCAAGGCTGCAGTTGTCCTTCAGCCTCAGAAATGTCAGTTTCTGTCTCATTTTTTGTGTTACCTACTAATTCTGAAGCTCCTTGAGGGCTGGGAGGAGTTTATCTCCTTCCCCTTCTTTATGTGGCAAAATGGATTCTCGGCTCCTCTAATAAGTATTTATAATTTGACCAATGCAGAGTCTAGGATGACTGGGAATTTCCAACAATGGAGGAGCCATGTGACTTTCTTTCTCAGTAAGTGAAGGAATTACCCTATTCAACACAATGGAAGTAGGAAGGAAATTAGAAGTCATTTTAGAGTGTTTTATTTAGAACTTTTTTTTTCTAATTTGAAGTTTCCAGTGTTCTGATCACGGTTTGGGGCATGGTTGGTGTTTATAACACTCATGTTGATGGCACTGGGAGTTTCGGTGACCCCAGACTGTGAGCTCCTCTCTGATCTCCCTACCACATAGTACCATTGCTTCAGAGACCCACCCTCAGCAGCCAGCAGCCCATCACCTTTGGCAACCCCAACAGAAAAGCTAGAGATTCGAACCTTCGGGAAAGACAGGAAGTCCCTGTGGTGGGACAGAATTAGCACATCTGGATATCTGCCAACTAACTTGTACCTCTGAGTCAAGGACACAACGAGATCAAGACTTCAGTGATCTGGGAAATGAGAAACTGTGAGGGTGGATCCTACCTGACCTCGGGCCTTCTGTCTGAGGCTCCTGGTCCTCTTTCCTTAGAGCAGATGCTTCCCAGATAAAGTCGTAGTGCAACCGTAGACAGTGGTGGTGGTGAAGAACTGAGCACACATGGCTAGACTTGGCTTGCACAGAAAGCACGGCATTGAAGTTCCTGTTCACCCCGGAGTACAACAGCTTCTATCGTCTGCATTGTATGGTTGAAAAAAGGGAAGCTCAGGGCCCAGAGCTTAGGTGATGTGCTCAATGCCATGGAGCTAGAGGAGAGATCTGAACCTCAGTCTCTGCAGTTGTAAAGTCCAAGTTTTCTCCACCTAACTTTCCTATGTTGGATCTATATTTATAAAGTGAAAATACCCCATTGTGCACAGTAAAATATGGGATTTGCTGAGAGGAAAAATTAAAGTTCCTGCTCAGTCATAGGAATGAAAACAAGCTCAAAGAGCAGGCTGCCTCAGAGCTGAGTGGCTCTGTTCAAGCTGCAGGAACATCTAGAACATTCTCCCAAGGAAGTGCCTGGGCCACAGGAAGTGTGTGCATCTTCACATTTGTAAGGTTGGTAGGAGGTGGCCCAGTCCTAATGATGTGGGCCCTTTCCTTTGGGAACAGAAAAGCTACCGGCAGAGAGCAGATGAGCAGAAGTTCACCAGTGTGCCCAACAGCTCCCAGATGGAACACGCCAAGAAGAGCCAGGAGCTACAGAGCGGGGTGAGTCCTGGGCTGCCCTCTGTCCACCAAGCTGCTGTGTCATGAGCCTGGGAATGTCCACGCACAACAGCAGGTGCTGCCTAGCCATGATCCAGGAACCAGAGAGCCTTCCCCTTAAATAAACTGGGCCCAGCTTCCCGAAGGCTTCCAGGTTGTTTCTGGGAACTGGACACCAGGCCTTCCTGCTTTACCCATCCACTTCTCTCCCAGTTACTAGAGGTAATTGCAGAGCTAACCTTATTCCTTTTCTGTTTTCAGTATTTCTTAATTCCTTCTTTCTTCTTTGCTTTCTTCTCTCTCATCAAAGACTCTATAATTTTGGAGCCAGTAGAGAGTTATCTTAGAGAAAGATGATGTTTCCCAGCGAGGATGAGTGGAGGTCATGCTTATTTGAGCTCAAATATGAGAGGCTGAGCAATGAGCTGCCATGTGCATTATTTACAGATTAGTGGCCAACACCAAGCCAGTGACCTTCTTCCTATAAGCTTGCCTGGCCCTCCCTAGCTTTCCATCCTAAGGTCCAGGTATACCTTACAAAAACGGTGCTTTCAATATAACTCAGGATCAGCAGAAAGCTACTGTTTGATGCAGGGACTGGAAAAGACAAAGAGTAAGTGTGCTAAGTTTTCCATGGGGCAGGAGTTCCTTACTGTCTTTTTGATCACTGCTTGCTCCCTGGTGTCAGCACCTCCCAGGGCCCTAAGGCTGATTATAGACGTGCAGGAGGCAGAGTGAGCATCTTATCTGTGCCACGTGGGAGCCCTCTGGTGGGCTGTTTTTTAATGACTGTAGATGGCAGTAGCTTGGGAGGGTCAAGGGCATCTCAAGGAAAAGATGTCAAAACAGATACCTTGGAGAGGTTTTCAGATTGGCTCCTGACCTTAATTAAACTTGGTTTATTGTATTCTGTCACCTAGTGGCTGAGATATGTGTGTGTGTGTGTGTGTGTATACAATTGTTTTAATTGTTATTTATGTGTTACAGTGTTTTAATTTGATCCATATATACAATGTGTAATGATCAAATCAGTATAATTAGCCTTCCTATCTCTTCAAATATTATTGTTTCAATGTGTTGGAAATGTTCAAGCTCTTTTCCTCTAGTTATTTTGAAATGTGTAATAGATTGTTTCAGACTGTAGTGGCCCTATTGTGCTACCCAGCATAGAATACCTTCTCCTCAGCAGGATCTTGGTTCCTAGTACCCACCCTCTTTCTGTTTTCCCTCCTCCCCACTGTTGTTCAGCCTCTAGTGACCTCTATTCTATTTTCTACTTCTATGTGATCAACTTTTCTGGATTCTACAAAGAAGTAAGATCACATAGCATTTATCTCCCTGTGTGTGGCTTATTTTGCTTAATGTCCCCCGGTTTCATCCCTGTTGCTGCAGTTGCAATGGCCCTCCCATCCCTGGCCCTTCCCAGCTCCTCACCCAATACCCTCTCCCAACAGGTGGCCTACAAGGCAGGACACAAGCATTCTCTCCACCAGTACTGCATCAGCAAAGATGAGCCTCTCTTCCTCCAGGCCCAAGCCAATGCTGCCCAGCTCAGTGAGGTACCAGAAGGTGGAGTGGGCAGCTGTGGGCTCTGTTCCCCTGTGCAGATCTGTATCCACTTGTTATCAAGCCCACATGGCACATTGGTAGTGCCAGCTGGGGTTCCCTACATGTGGTCATTCTAAAACCAGCTCTAAACCCAGCAGGTCTGGTTCCTTATCAGTGCTTAAGGGTAGTGGGGACAATGTTCCTAGCAGTGATCTGTGGAGGACTCGAGCTGCCTGAAGAGATGGTGGGGTCAGAGGGGATGGTTATTCCAGGGCTCTGATCTGAGTGATTCCAGAGGGAAGCAAGAACGCAGACAAGGCTCCAAACTGCCTGGGTTTCACCCTCGGTTCTGCCACTTAGCAGGTGTGTGGCCTGGGCCAAGCTCTTGACTCTCAGATTTTCTGTTAGTAAAGTGAGGCTGACCCTAGCCCTTCCTGGCTGGGCTGTCAGGGCCTGCATCAAGTGAATATGCAGAAAGCCCTGGAGGCGTGTGCTCTGGAGTAGCTATTCAGTGTGAAAGCACCGCAGTCCCATCTGCCCCTCCCTGTCCAAGGAGGGGCTGTTGTTGGCTCTTCCTACTCAGCAACTAGGTCTTTGGGGTCCTGATCTGGGAACAGGTAGGGAGGAGAACTGCAGGGAGAAACAGAAGCTGAATTGATTCACACCCAGAAAGGAAAGGGGGCTTCCAGAAGAAAGATCTTGAAACCTGGAGGTAGGGGCAGCAGAGGGAGTGGGAGGGTCCAGGAAAGGCCCGGCCCTGGAGGCGGTGGGGTGGGGCAGGAACCAGGAGGAGAGCAGCTAGAGCTCTGCCGCTGGGAGCTGTGGACAGTGAGGGCTCTGCGCAGACGCTGAATGGAGCAGGGCTGCTCTTCCTTCAGCATGGCTTTGAGGCCTCCACAAAGACTCCAGTGTTTTCCAAGGCTTCTGGAATTTAATTTCTGCTTCTGTTGAGTGAATCCTTATTGTTAAGAGTCTTATTCATCAGTGGTATTGAGCTACATGAATCTAGGGTTCTCAGTTTTTAGGGAGGAATATATTCACAGTTTCCCTCCTAGAAAGGTCATTATAGGGTCTAGAGAAACTCTCTCCCATGAGGTAATCTCTTCCCTCCTAAATCCTCCTAGAAACTGTACAAGAGCAGCTGGGAGAACCAGAAGGCAAAAGGCTTTGAGCTGCGTCTCGACTCCCTGACCTTCCTGACGGCCAAAGCCAAGAGGGACCTGGCCAGTGAGGTGAGTCAGTCCCCAGCTTGCTAGAGAGACCATGGAAACCTGCTGCTTTATAAATGGGAGAGTCTTTCAGCATCTGGGCTGATGCTTTATCTCCCCAAAGTTAGGGGGTTTTACCTGCAAAATTGGGATAATAACAATTACCTCACAACAAGATACTCATGCCAGTGCCTAGCATGTTACTTGCCACGCACTAATTTTCAGTAAGTGGTAAATGTTATTAGTAGCAAGACTAATAATCCAAGGGGCTGGGGATTTAGCTCAGTGGTTCCGCCGCCTGCTGTGCAAGCGCAAGGACCCAAGTTCGATCCCCAGTACCAAAAAAAAAAAAATGAAAAAGAATCCAAGAGCTTTACTTTACTGATAAACTGATGCCCAGAGATGTATTCTGACTTTCCGTCAGGACCTGTGCACAGTTAAGAGCAGGGCTCAGGTGTCAGGCCTGGGCTAGTAGTTGTTATTTTGGGCAAATTGTTTAACATTTCAGTGTCTCATTTAGCTTGCTAGTCAACCAGTAATTGCAAACTGGTTATGAGGAAAGGAGATGAATTGACATATATGAAGTGTTGTAGAATTCAGCGCAGCCTGTCAGGAGTCTGATGGGAGGTGCGGAGTTTGGGCCATATTGTACGTCAAACTGCTTCCTACGTTGAGAAAGTCTTGCTTCAAAAAACAACACAAAACCAACGAAATCATAAGAATAATACTCGCCGAACCAGCGGCTTAGTAATGTGGTGGATTTTTATTCGGACCTCAGCTCCTGACGGTGTAGTTAGCTGGTGGCACTTTACAAACCACTCTGCGGATATACTTTGAGCGGACCAGGCTTGCCCCTGTCTGGCTTATAACCGGTGTGGTGGCAGATATTGTTGCCGTCACTGGGAGAGATGAGAGAAAAGCCCGAGTCGCCCAAGGACCACGATCAGGATAATGTTGAAAATAATGCCACACAGTGGCAGCATGTCATAGTTTTCAAAGCATTTCCGCATTTATTCTTTCTTCTGGCTCTTAATGCTCTTGGCTTAGTGTTTCATTTTTCTGTTTTGTCCTCCCCCCAGGCAGCATGCTCCTTTTACTCCCCATACCCTACGATACTCTACGAGCTCTTTTCTTGAACAGCAATTGTATTTTGGATATTCTGTGTCTCTTTCACTGCATGACTGGTTTTTATTTGCAATGTTGTCACTATTATCTAAAAAGGTAGTAAGAAGGCTTTCATGGAAAACAATAGGCCATTTAAAAGTAAATCAGGAGCCCGGGATTTAGCTCAGTGGTTCCGGCGCCTGCCTCGCAAGTGCAAGGTCCTGAGCTCAATCCCTGGTACCAAAGAAATAAAAAATAAATAAATAAAAGTAAATCAGGAGTTACCTCAGACAGAGAAGAAATAGAATCAAACTAGAAAATTCGTAGAAATTTGTTTCTCAAGCTGAGCCTTCAGTTGGTGCAGCCAAGGTGAAAAGGGAATTAATGGGCAATCATTTTATTTTGCTGATTGATGAAAAGAAATATATCAGTGGTTCAAACTAATCCTAATAGGATTCTGGCAGGGGGCTTCACTTTTAACTCTCCAGACTGCAGCTTGAAGCTTAGCAGCCCCTTCAGGAGATTCTCATGTACTGATGCTCTGTTCCTGCTCTTTAGGTGAAGTACAAAGAAGATTATGAAAGATCCAGAGGAAAACTCATTGGGGCAAAGGATGTACAGGGAGATTCACAAATGAGCCACTCGCTGCAAATGTCCAAGCTGCAGAGCAACCTAGAGTACAAGAAGAGCTTTGAGGACACCAAGTCCCAGTGCCACATCTCCCTGGACATGATCCACCTTGCGCATGCCCGAAAGGCTCAGCACTTAGCCACTGACATAGGCTACAGGACGGTGCCCCACCAGTTCACAGCTCTGCCCTCTGACATGAAGGTGGAGTGGGCCAAGAAGGCATACGGCTTACAGAGTGAAGTAAGCTAAGTGTGTATGCACATGTGTGTGCGCATGTATGTATACACATCGTGCTAGAGCTGGCACAAGTCTTTCTCCGAGCCCTTTGAGACAACAGTTTACATTAATGGATGCCTGTTTCTGGACCCCTAATGGAAACACTAGCTTCTGAGTGGTCTCACTTTTATTCAAACTATGTCCATTTTAAATTCTATAGTAACAATCAGAATATCATAGAGCTACTTCTTCCTTCTTGGAATTCTTATCTACAGTATGTTTCCTAGGTTACTTTTTATTTCTGGGGGGCTACGTTTGTGACATTCCCAGCTGTGGGAGAGCATGGCTGGTAATTCCCCATTTTTTGGAATGAGCCACTCTCTCGCCCTTAAAAACCTCTTTCTCCTTATGTCCCCCCATCCCCTGTTTCTCTTTCCTTCCTATCCTCAGTGGGTTCTTGTACAAGAATGTGGGTGAATGGAAAAGGCAGGTCACCTGCAGCCAGACAGTTACACACAAGTGTGCATGCCCATGTGTGTGTGGGTATGTGTACTGACATCCCTTCCTGACAGAGCTGTTTCATGATAGACCGATGATATGCTAGTTTTAGAGAAGTGTCTGTTTAAATAGCTTTCCATTAAAACTACTCATCCAATGTTAAGTAAAGAAATGAGAAATATCCTCCTCCCACTGTGGGAAGCTTCGGCTGTCTCGTGAAATTCCCTCTGCCAGCTCCCACCTGGGTACTGTTATGAATCCTCATTTTCTTCTCTCCAGCCTGTTATTTTAAGTAAGAAAACTGGTAACACAGACAACAAGGACAGGTGTCTTTCCAAGGTAGACGGGATTCATAATGAGGGCCAGGGTTGACTTAGCCCCTCCCACCTCCTCCACAGTAGAGCTGGGCGGGGCCTAGAACCACCAGCCACAGGGAGGGCTCCAATTAAAAAGGGAAATTAATTTACATTTTGGAGCCCTACCTGTGACTATGCAGAAACAGATAAGACAACAGTGCCGTCTAATTTGACTCAGCTGGCACCAAGGGAATGGTGGGAGCTGTTAATAGCCCTTTAAATGTCTGTGCACCCGCAATGGATGGCTTTTTTTTTTTTTTTTTTTTTTTTTTTTCTCCTTTGCCAGAATCAATACAGGGCAGATGTGAAGTGGATGAAAGGCGCAGGCTGGGTCGCCACCGGGTCATTAAACATGGAGCAGGCGAAGAAGGCAGGAGAACTCATTAGTGAGGTGAGGTTTCCTGACAGCGTGTAACAGGCCTGGCTGCATTAGGCGTGCAGTGTTTCTGTATAAAATTAAAATAATTTCCACTCAAAAGGCAAAGCCACATGAAAGGCCTCAAAACCCGGACTAGGGCTGGTAATTAGAGGGAAACCACATACCAAACACGCACCAGTAGGGGCCCATAGAGCCCTGGCAAAAACAGAGTGGGTGACAAATGATATTATGAATACTAATGACAATCAAATGGAGCTCAATTGCTACCCGCCAACTTACCTTTTTAATGAAGGAACACAAGAGAGATGATGAAAAGATTCATTTATTGCACCCAGAAAGCCCTTTTGTGGCTTTATGCACATTTTCTTCCTCTCTTTCTGCCACAGTGTAGTTTGAATATTCACGTGGTGTCCAGCACAATGACGTGGTTGGTTCTTTTTTGTGTGTGTGGAGGGGTGTCTCACTTCTACTGTATTTAAATCTCACTCTGGTCATCCGGGCTGGACCCTGAAGTATTACTACTTATGAAAAGAGAGCCATTTCCTCACATTTTAGGACAGGTTCATTGGGTGGCAATTTTATTTTATTTTAATTATTTATTTATTTATTTTGGTACCAGGGATCAAACTTGGGTCCTTGTACTTGCAAGGCAGGCAGCAGAACCACTGAGCTAAATCCCTGGCCCTGGGCGGCAATTCTAAAGACCAAATCAGGGGTTTTTCAGCCTTAGCACTAGGGACACTTTGCCAATTCTTTGTTGTGAGGGGCTGCAGTATCCCTGGCCTCTAGATGCCAGTAGCTCTCTCTGCTCAATTGTGTCAACTAAAAAGTTCCCAGACATTGGCAAATGTCCACTGGGAGGCAGAACTGCCACTGCAGTAGGCACCCAGCGAGCTGTCCTTGGCTTATGTTCACACCGAGGCTGAACGCTGTAAATTACTCATATCTGCCCCCTCTTCGTGTCTGTCTGGGGTGGCCCTGGCTGAGAAGGCAAGTGAGCATTTAATTGCAGCAGAGTAGCCTGGTCTTTCTGGACTTTACTGGATAGGGAGGAGCCATAGCCCCTGAGAACCTTAACTTTGCCATTGAGGCTTCCAGGACCTTGTTTTGAGAAGATTTTCATACTGAATTCACAGCCAAAACAGAAAGTCTCTTCTGTTGGCTTTTCGAATGCACCTATTCAGCATTGATATTTTCCACTGGCTGAACGTTCCAGTGAACTGACACATCCCAGACTTGATTTGGAAAGTGGCCTCCGTCTGGTAGGTCACTGTTAGGGACCTTAGACAGCGCTCAGGGCTCTGGGATCTCAGTGGAGACAGGCACTGCCCTACCATTTTGGCTAATTGAAGGAAGGCCCTCGCAGGGGGATAACCAAGAAATGCTTAGAGGAACAAACATTTGGAGTATACGTCCACACCCTTGGTATCAGGCCCACTCACAGAAGGAAATGAAGAACAAAAACCACTGGATACATAATTAAGTCTTGAACATAGTTCCCTTGGGTGTCAGTCTGGCAGCCAAGAGATCTTTTGGAAACCACTCACCCCATAGTGGTTCTAATTTGTCACCTCATTTTGCAAACTTTCTCAAAACATTTGCTTATCTTTTTTGATGTCCTTGCCTCAGACCAGTCCTCAAATTAAGTAAGTAAGTAAGTAAGACATCTTTCAGCAGCCTTTCCAGCACCCTCATTGTAGAGTGGCATACTTCTCTGGGTTAGTGCCAAATTGAGCTGACTTTTTAACCTTTAGAAATCAGCAAACCACTTCCCTAGAGAACCAGATAGTAAATATTTTCAACCTTGCAAATTATATGGTCTGTATTGCAGCCAGCTGCAAAATGGCCACAGGCAACATGTAAATAAATGAGCAGGGCTGTATTTCAATAAAACTTTATTTACAAAAGACACGTAGTGGGCCAGATTTGGCTGTATCTAAGACCTCCTAGCACAGTACACAAAAATCTAAATAAATGAATGGATGTTTGTAAAAGAAGTTTAATTTGGGAAAACATAAACACCATGGTCCTATAAAAAAAAACAAACAACCATTTCAGACCCCTGGAATTGCACTTTGATGAAAAAAGGTAATTCTTTAAACATGATTTTTCAGAACACTTAAAAATTGGGTACCCGTGTCTCTGCCAGCACTTAAATTTTTTGTTTCAGTGTTTTTTAAACTATATAATGACTGCTGTTAGTAATAGTACCCTTTTTTTGTTATTGTTGTATTTTAAAGGATTAATATATATGTTAACTGAACCCAGCTCTAGAGTGATTGGCTAGTCTGCACTCTGTTAAATTTGGGGCTTTTGACTGTGGTGCTGTCTGCCAAGTCCTTTTGTGGAAGGAAAATAGAAAGCTTCAATGGATAAAGATAACTATGAATGCTCTTTCTTGCTTAGAAAGGCCAAACTAAGATATGTAAACAACTGCAACATGGTATTTGAACCCTATAAAAAGAATCCTTTCCTAAGTGTGTATCCTGCAGTATTTTACTGGTATGACCTAATTTTGAGATATTGTCTTTCCACCTGGTAGAAATACTTTAATGTTAATTGTCATGAGGTTATTCTTAAATTGAAACAAATATTAACCTGAAGCCACCTAGGATATAAAGATAGAGGAAGCAGAATAATAATTATGTTCACAAATTCACTCTAATCTCAAGCAACCTATGATTTTCTCTTTCAAATGGCATGAAAGAGCAGCACAAAATTCACAGCTTTGATCTTTTCCTGCTCAACAGAAGAAGTACCGTCAGCATCCAGATGCTTTGAAGTTTACCAGTATTAAAGACACTCTGGAGATGGTCCAGGCCAGAATTAGTTATACCCAAGCAGTGGACGTAAGTGATAATGTATATACATTATGACTCTAAGAGTGGGCTCTTCTTTCAACAGTGCGATTGAAGCAGAGGGGATCTCTGGCTTGCTCCTTCTGTTGTCCTGAGGATGAAGGAGCGCCTTGTCCTTTGTGGGCTCCCCTTAGCAGGGGTGCTTCCTCATTAGGATGCAAACAGGGCGTTCCTGCACTTCAGGATGCCAAGTGGGGCTGAACACCCCACTGACCCATGATGCTCTTCTTCCTTCCCATTTGCATGTCTTGCTGATTTGTCAGTGATGAGGCCTTTCCCCCTCTCCTTTTGTTTGAAAGCATTCTTGTTAGAACTGAGACGTTCGCTGAAATTCTTACTAATTAGAATACTGATGCTATGCTTTGGGCTTTTGGGGATCCAAGGACAGGAACTGTTCTCTGATTTTCCCAGACTTTTAAATTAATCTGGGTCTAGTTTAGACATTAGCGTGACTCCCAAGCCATTTCCCATATTCCCTTTGTAATGGGAAACCAAGATTTGGCTCTTTGCTCTCCCAAAATGAGGTTTGCTAGAGACTAAATGGAATGATGAAGTCCTATAAAAATTCACTTTAAAACCTGGATTTGGCTGATTCAGCTGAGAAACGTCCAGGGATCCTTGTGTAAGGCAGGCCTGGCTTTTAAATATCTTAAAACTATTCACCTTACCACAAGCAACATTTACAAACCTTGGGGTCAGGAGCTTCAAAATTCCCTCCCTTGCTTCTGAGCAGTATGGCCATGCCTCATTCTACAGACACTTGAAACTACTTGAGTGCCTGTCAGAATAAAAGATGGGATGATTCACAAGTTTAGGAGTTCAGGAATTTATAATTTTTTATAAATTAAAATCAAATCAAATTCTGAGAAACGCAGATGGTCAAACAAGAATTTTTCAGAAGAAAAACAATCCTTGCTTTGTCCTTACCCTAACCAACTCTAGGGGGCACTGCTGTGATATGTAGAAACTTGGACCAGGCTGATAAGATTTGAGATGGAAAAGCCTTGTTTAGAAACTTTCTCTGGTGGCCAACTCCATGTGTCACTGCAAACTACCAGGATATCAGAAGCCCAAATCAAAGTCGTGGGTAGACCTGCGGAGGGGATACTTATTAGGGCAGGAATGCATGTGATGGGGAAGAGGTGAGGACCGAGGCGGGCGTGGTGAAGCCTTGCCGGCGGAAGAGCCATCTCCTTGCACGCTTTCTGCATCCAGACACCTGCTCACAGCTTAGAGTTAATAATCAATTACACCTTGATAAGTAGACCTCATTTTCTCACTTGACACTCATCTCAGTAGTGTACTAAGCGCCGAGTGTTCATGGAGGGGAACATTTCAGCCTGCCATGTTCTGAGCTAGAAAGTAGAACTGGGGAGATGTTGACATGCGTGTCACCCTGCTGGCTGTGAGATCTGGGTAGAGACAAAGTGCCGGCAATCATGTCTCCAGGAGGACGTGGCAACTGCAGCTCCTTGATCTCCTGGAGTGTAACTTGGCTCATGGCTGCGTGGGGGAGGCTCTGGGTTTCATGGAGAATCTCTCCATCCACAGAGGTTGTACAAGGAACAAGGAGAAAACATAAAGCATCATTATACGCAGACTGCCGACCTGCCTGAAGTCCTGCTGGCCAAGCTGAATGCCATGAACATCAGTGAGGTGAGGCTACCAGAAGGACACTGGTGTCCGTGGCTGGAAGTGAGGATGCTTTCATGCCCTGTGCCTCGTGCTCAAATGCACCTGCCCTGCTTCAGTGTGCCATCTTGAAATTCGCGATCGCTTTGAACAAGGGTCCTGACTCTTTCATTTGCACTGGGCCCTGGAAATGATATAGCTGATCTAGCAGAAGAGATAAGTTTTGGGAAGAATGATAGAGGCAAAAGTATGTGCCTTAGTACAAAGGGCCTGTGGAGGAACCGACATTTGAGCTCTCAGTATAACTGGGTATATCCAGTGGCTGTGCCAAGGAGAGACCTGGTGGGTTTAACTCCTCCCTTCCGTAATGTCAGCATCCCCTGCCACTATCTCTGTTCCCTGACAGAGACATTTGGCTTTTCTTTATCTTTGATAAAAAGCTATGCAAATGTAGCCTATGCTTCCTCCTTTGAACCAACTTGTGCTCAGAAAAATAGGACTCCAAAGGCCTTGCTTTTAATCCTTCCCCTCTATGGCTTTACCTGCCAAAGGTGGGTGTGCGGCCAGAGCCATCTCTGTTAATTTGTTCTAGGCCACAGTGATCCCTAACCCCAGCAACTTCAAGGTTGACATCTGAGAGAGAATCCCACACCAAACCAGATTCCCATTTTGGTAAACTGGAAACTAGGAAGCCACTAGGTGATAGGAAGGTCTTCACTGTGCACTTTCCCCCACTAGACCCGTTACAAGGAATCCTGGAGCAAACTCCGAGACGGTGGATATAAGCTGAGGTTGGATGCCATTCCGTTCCAGGCAGCAAAGGCTTCTGGCCAAATCATAAGTGATGTGAGTATCTGGTGCTGTGACAATGTTAAATCCTAACCAGTTTTCACTCCTTCTGCCTCTAACCCCTGCCTTCTTTTGCCTGTGGATAATAGCCTCTCCTCTTCGAACTGACTGTGTTAGGGCAATCAGATAATGGCCACTGAGAAAGAACATATCTTACAACAAAAAATTCCCTAGCCCGGTGTACAAAGCCAAACGCTGGGTTGTAAACATGGCCCCTGGGCAGATGAGATGCACCCTCCACCAAGAGTTTCCCTAAAGTGAGTCTGTGTGCAGAGACCACTAACAATGCCTGCACCTTCCTCCAGCCCCGGCCGCCCAAGTGCTAACGCATCCTGCCATTTCATAGCTGAGCCCTTTAGTCATTGGGAGTCTTGCATATGAAAGAATAGACCTTTTGACGACTCCCTCGCATTTTCTTTTAACTCACCCAGTTACTGTCAAAAGAACAAAACATTTTCGCCCAATACCCACCTCTTCCATTCTCTGTCCCTTGTCCCCGAGCTGTTACTCTCTCCCGCTCTCTTTCCCTTTAGTACAAATACAAAGAGGCATTTGAGAAAATGAAAGGACAGATGCTTGGCTCCCGGAGCTTGGAAGATGATCTCAGCCTTGCACATTCAGTGCATGCGACCTCGCTGCAGAGTGATGTAAGTGGGAGAAAATGCAATGGGAGCTGTGGGGCTGCACCTAGCTGCGCTCCAGGCATGGCCACCTGGTGCTTGGCTTTGTGTCTTCCTCCCTAAATGAGGCTGGATGAGTTGACTCCTTAGTTCCCTTCTGAGCTGGGAATTCTTCTTTTTTTAAATTTTGTTTTGTTTTTGGTACTGGGAATTGAACCTAGGGCTTCCACACTAAGCTACGACCCCTGTCCGATTTTTATTTTTTATTACTACACCTGGCTGCATTCTTTGGTTTAGACCTGTGGCTGCACATTGAGGGCCTGTGGGCTGGATTTGACCTGCAGAGGTATTTTGTTTGATCTGTAAAGTGCGTTAATAACAAACATTTAATAATGACAAATTCTGCATAAGATTCTCAACTCCCGACCAGAAGCTGGATTGGACTCTTGAAGGCTACAGTTGATCAAAATTGTTCACTGATGGTCCACATGGAAGAGACGCGTGTTCTCCTGGCCATATAGCCACTCCTCCTCTCCAACTTCTTGCTTTGCTTATTTGTGCTTTCTGCACAATTACAGCCACCACCCTCTGACTGTCCACTGAGACCTTCTGCTGGCACATGTGTGCATACACCATCTCCTTGTACATATGTGAGTTAGCTACTGTCAGTGATGAAATTTATACCCAACATGTCACAGAGAAGGCAGTACGCTCATGTACAACATCTCATTTAACCATCAAATTGTCTCTAGAGACTCCACCTTCGAATTCATCTTCCCTTACTAAGAAGGAGATTGACCTTTGAGTGCTCAGTTCCTTGCCTAAGGTCAACTAGGAAAAGGCCAGGCCAGGATGGAGATCCAGTTCATCTCTCGTGCTCTTTCCATAGCTTCACATGTTCTCTGCTTTGGTTTTCCCTTTTCTAACATCTTTCTCCCTTCTGTCCTGGGTTGCTGACCTATGAATGTGAGGCTGGATGTGAATTGTTCTTAGCCTTGTGCTAGGTAGGGGTGAGGGCAGGATCAGTGGAGGTGGGAGTGAGAGGTTAGGACCAAGTGGCTGGAGCTTCAGGAAGGCTGTGGAAGGGGATGGAGAAGGAGAGGAAGAAAAGGGGCTTATGTATCTGAATCCCAGGTGCACTCTGAGTGGATTTCCCAGACCCTTAAACAGCTTTTCCCAGGAGTGTATGAAGTGGTGATGTGGAACGAACCCCGCCTTCCTCTCAGGATGCAGGCTGGCTTTTGGGAACGTCATTCATCCAGGACTGGCTCTCCAACAGCCACCTCACCACTCTTGGCTCCCAGTGACTAGGAAGTTGTCTAATATTTTGAGGAAGCTCTCCTCAAACTAGGGAAAGAAGAGAATCCTTGGTGTCTAACCCTGAACTTAAGTGGACAATGAGGAAACGATACGATGGATGGAGTGCAGGGTTGCCATGCATCTTGCCTCTAGAACACTGGAAGATCTAAAGCACTGAGCAAGGGAGCCAGCGTTATATGCTGGGGCCCCAGCATTATATCTATACCTTGAATGTCTGTGTTTTCCCCCACTCAGGGACCCATGAGTCTTCTTCATCCAAATCAGTGGCCTCTAGGAGCTGGAGTGGTAAATGTCAGGGCCTGGAGTCGAGCCCTGCTTGAGGCCAGTCCTCGAAAGAAAGGAGAGTGGTTTCTGCCAGGAACACCCCCGGAGCTGACCAGGGATGATTGTACCACAGATGTTCTCCCTGATGGTCGCATTGCAAATAGTAGCTTTGAACTGGCTTCTGTTGATCTGTCTGCCCCTCTAGGTGAATTACAAGAAAGCCTTTGAACACTCAAAGGCACTCTTCCATCTGCCGCTGGATATGGTAACCCTAGTGCATGCCAAGAAGGCTCAGACCCTGGCCAGTGACCAGGACTACAGACACCCGCTCCCCCAGTACACTTCCTTGGAGGAAGACCTGAGGCTGTGCTGTGCCAAGAAGGCTCATAAGTTGCAGAGCGAGGTAAAGGGACTGCGCTGTCCCTCGGGGTCCTTCTCCTTGCAGGTGCGACAGTGCAGGAAGTAGTAATCTGCAAGTTCCTGTGGGTGGTGAAGGCTCCAAATCAGGAGTCCTAAGCCCACATTTTCTTTTGAAACACAACCTGACAGCCCTGAAGCACAGCAGCCACCATGTATTGAGTATTTTTGCTGAATTGAAAGCATTGTGTTGTCACACGTTATCTCATTTAATCCTCATAGTAACTCTATCGAAAGTCTTTATCCCCATTGTACAGAAAAATTACAGAGGTGCAAAGGAGGTAAACCGCTTACCCAAGATCACACTGCTACACCTGAGAAATGGGGGTGCTGGGTTTGAACTGAAGGTTCCCTCCAGGTTCATGATTGTTCATGTTCAAGATTTGCCAGGGGTTTGGCCTGTGCCTCAGGGTAATTCTGGGTGCCTCCTGCATTCCTGTCCCTGCTTTAGGGAGGCCTGGGTTGTGTTGGGAAGGGCTGCTTGGAACCTGCCCCTCCTGATAACCCAGGTCAGGGACAGGAGCGTGTCAGGGAAGGCTGGGAGCTCTGGGAGGTCCTTTCATGGCATCTTTCTGCTCCTCTGATGTGTGTGCTGTGCTCTCTGCAGCAGGCAAGCCTGGGAGGGCCTGGAAATATAGAGCTTCCTCATTCCCACCAAGGGGCAGCACGTGCTTCCAGCAGGCAGCAGTGTCCTGCCTGGTACTCACCTGGGCCCCATCTTGGTGGGTTTGCACGCGATCGGGTTTTCGGGGAATGAGCCTGTGTAGGGAAGCAGCATGCGGCACTAAACTTCTTCCCTGGTGTGGCAGTGCTGATGAGCCAAGCGGCGCTCATATCTGGTATCTGTTGTCTGTTGGAGTTGTACACCCGGGTGCAGCGTTTACTGAATGACACCAACTGTCAGGAACCCAGAGCAGCTGGAGGAAGGAGGGCGCTGCCAGGCTTATCTCAGGGCCTTGTCACTTAACACAGAGCCCAGCATGCCCTGCCTCACATTGTGATGGCAATTGGAAGGCTGCACACCCAGGGGGCACCTCGCGGGCTGAAGGGAGTGAATTGGGGGAGCCTTTAAACTGTCATCCCGAATCACTCAGGCACACGCACTTGCCCTACCCATGAAGATTCAGACAGGTCGTTGCCAGGCTATTTTGGATTCGTTTATCAGTTGTGTCTTAACCTATGATTAATTGATGCCTCCCACTGCTGCTGGGTTTTGTTTTAGAAGACCTGAGAAGCCATTTGCACATTTGCCCCCAAGAAGCCTGACTTCCTAACCACAATCCACTCCAGCTTATTTTTTGATAGCGCACATTAAAATAAAACCTGTCTTTCGTCCCTATAACAGCTACTCTGAGTCAAGTGACAGCAGAATTATTTCCTTCTGACTTGCCCGCCCCTGCCATGAGCATTTACTCAGGAGCATCTATCTGTGTGATTGCTGAGTAGAATAAATCTGAGAGAGGGGCTTGGCCTTGAGTTCTAGTTCTGATGTTGTTGGATGCTATGCCAGGAGACCCCTGGCTTCTCTCTGCTTCCTTGTTCTGAGTTTGGCTTTGCTGATCCTCTATGGTGTTGCTTGTAGAATCTGTACCGCTCGGACCTGAACTTTATGCGAGGCGTTGCCTGTGTCATCCCAGGCACATTAGAGATTGAAGGGAGAAAGAAAGCATCTGAGCTCATCAGCGAGGTAACTGGGTTCTCTGGAGGGGCACAGGGTGGAGGGGACATTGCAGTCGGTCTGTCTTCTGCTAAAGCCTGCTGCAGGTAGGCTGTTGGCAGCAGGAACTCCCTAACTTCCCTCTTGCCTGGCTTCTTTTCTTACTGGATTCTCCATTCATGCTGGGTGCCACTTAACACAGCTCGGTGGATATCAAGTCTTGCTCCATTACCATGGCTTATAAGATGTACTCTCCTTATGTCCCTTTGAAAAGGGACTCTGTGTTACAATGCAAAGCAGACAGGCTTTGGAGATCTGGATTGAAATTCCAGACCAGTACTCATTTACTGTGTGACCTCAGGCCTGTGACTTGCTTTCTCTGAGCCTCAGCTTCTTAATTAGTCAAATGGGGATACTCGTCCCTCCCTCATTTAGTTTTTGTAAGGATTACCACTCATCTAAGCACTGTGCTTCTATGGCAACTACATATGAAGTGGTTCTAGATGCTTGGTGATCATTTCTTGGTAAAAATAGGAAAGTCTTCGAATACTGAGCTTTCTGCACTCCTAGGGAAACTTCCCCAGGGGGGAGTGACAAGGTAATATTCACGCTAATGCAAGGACAGAAGGGTGCGTCAGGACCCAGAGAGCTCCAGGGGTCTGATATACCCTTGCTCAGCTCTCCTGATGCTCTGCGTGTTCAAAGAAGTCTCTAAAGCCGAGGTTTCTAAAGCTCATGCTGCATCAGAATGCTGTTTGGAGCTTGAAATCCCTCACAGAAGCCTGGGCTCCTTGGGCGGTGTTCTGAACCCTCTCCTGTTGGGGACCGAGATGCAGGCATGTGTGTTGTTTGAAGCTTGTGGTTTGTGGCACACCCTCGGGTAGGGGCAAACCCTCAGCTTAAAGGTTGCATTCACTTCCACAGCGAAGGTTTCTCTCCCTCTCCCACCAGTGTGTGACTCCTGCCACTGCCCTCCCCTCCTCCCTGTTCTCCAGCTCAGTGAGTGTGCAAGTCACAGGGCAGGTGAACAACTGCATTTGGAGCCCCAGTCTTGCAGTTTGTGCAAAACGAGGCTCTAACTAATACTCAGAGCTGGCTCTCCTCTGGGTTTATACCTATGGCATCATCTTCTTTCTCTGTGTGTGTGAATTCAGAGTAAATACCGTCAGCATCCTGGCTCCTTCAAGTACACGGCCGTGACAGACACCCCCAACCTCCTTCATGCAAAGTTCAGCAACCAGATTACCAATGAGGTAAAAATCTGCTGGTGGCTTTTTAGAAACTGCTAGATTGTTAACAGTACATGTGAATGTTTATGGGCTGCAAGGAGGGGGTCAGATGTGAGCAGTTATGTGGAGGTTTGGAAAGGAAAGCATTGTTACGAAGAGCTCGTATGTTTTCCAGAGGGAGAAAAGCCCCTGTCTCACTCCTCTAGACATGGACCAGCTGCATCAGTGCCCCCTGGGAGCTACTGGATATGCCCAAACTCCCTACCCTGGAGCTACGGAATCCAAAGAGTCCTTTAACGAGAGCCTCAGAGGATTCACCCTAAAGTCTGAGAAGTTACAGTCCATAATTCATTTATTCTATCTAGGCGAATATTGGCTGACCAATCTCATCTCATCATCCCGATGGTCCCTTATAAGGCGGACTGATTTGTAGTCATCCAAGGACAGTTTACAGTGTGGTGATTGTCAGTGGACCCTCCCCTCTTCTCACTATTTACCTAATTCATGCTTTACCAGCAGAAGGGAGGTGTAGGAGAAGAAATCTTGTTCCATAAAGTCATCTTTCCTGCCTGTTGGTTCTACTTCTTGCAGTTGCTCAGCTACAGGCTTGAAATAGGTGAGCTGAGCACCGACTCAATGGTGAATCATCTTTAGTTTGTAAGATTCTTCTGACTCTAACTTTCAGAAGTCAGATGAGATTTGGCTATTTATACTGTTAACTCCCACATTCATCCCAAGTCAGAGTAAGAAGTGGCAGCTGGGGAAAAACAAGTCCAAAGAGGTGGAAATTCAGGGTTTTAAATATTGATGTTATCAGTTTTCAATCCTTATTTAACCTTCTTGACTCCATTGTGCACCATGTGCTACGAGGCACTGATGACCTTTAGGATGGAGGCCTCTGGCCTTGGAGAATTAAGCAAACCCAGACCCAGTTCTAATCACGGAGAGTTGACTAGACAGCCAGGACACCCTTGGCCTGAGTCCACTCACACAAAGGATTCTGGGGCATTAGGAGAGAATTCAGATCAGGACTGGGCCCCTCCCTTCCACCAGGCAGGGATGCTGCTACATTTCCCAGGTCTAGCATTGTCTTGTGCTGTGTCCTCAAGGACACAGTCAGTGATGTGAGCAATTCAGTGAATAGTATTCTTAAATGTATTTGTCATTCCTCGGTCTATTGTTTTCCAAAGCAAATTGCAATGGCTTTTATTTTTTGACTCCAGTGGAGTCCTGGAGAGTGTCTTTATTGAAAGAAACCTCTTCCCTGAGGCGACAGTGTACCTGGGCCTCTGGAATGCCTTTAACTACCTTGCTTCCTAGCTGCAAAGGAGGGCCGCCCAGCACTGCAGAAACGCACAGCTCTGACCTCCTTGCCTTTTCCTTTTGGGCACAGCGCCTCTATAGAGCAGCTGGAGAGGATGTGAGACACCAGTACACCACGACCCTGGGTCTGCCCGAGTTCGTCAGAGCAAAAACAAACGCAGCCAATCTGAGCAATGTAAGCTTTTCTTGCTACTGAAGTTCAAGTGTTCTCTAAAGTTGTGCATGTTGTGTCTGTGATCTAGCAGCAAGCTTTCTGGCATTCACAGAGGCTTTTAAAAATGTGCGCGCTAGATGCCCATGTTAAATCCACATACCTTTTCACAGAAGTGTTGCATGCATATGTGTGCTCGGAGACTACCACAGGGTGTGTGCTAATGAGATTTTTCTCTGCAAAATAGAAAGCTTTTGCTTATCAGAGATCGATTCTGGAACACCGCGCTGCGAATGAAAGGGGAAGCCTCTGGTCACTGTTTTGTGTAATTTTTTTTAAAGATGTACATGTGTTCCCACTTTAGGCAAAATACAAGGAGTCTTGGTGTAATCTTCGTGCTCAAGGCTACAAGCTGACAATAGACGCGCTCCCCTTCCAGGCTGCGCGGGCCTCGGGAGATATAGCCAGTGATGTGAGTGGAATGCTCTGACCTTCTGTCTTGCCTAATATCTGTTAGCTTCATGTAAAACAATGTCTACAGCTGATTTTCTTGAATTAAAGCAAATCTATAACCATGTGAGACAGGATGTCACCTGCGGAATATATTAGTTATGAATGAGATCCTTTGGCGGAGGGAGGGAGAGAAAGGCTCTGTTAGTCACAGGCTAAATTCCGTAAAGGTCTCTAGCAGGAGGGAGTTGAGGGTTTATTTCAAATTGGAAAATCAAGGCAGCCATCCCGGGGAACGTGTGAGCAGCCTGCTTTGAAACTCCACCCCAAGGAGAGGAAGACTGGGCTGGGAATCGCAGGCATTGGAATGCACTTCCCCTCAGTCTCGGTAATTTCCCTCATCTGTGCTGGGCTTTGCCTGCTGAGTTTCACCACTCTGCTGATAACAGTCATAGTTTTGGGACATGAAGGTGACTCTCTTTCCCACAAACAAATCACAGAAAATGTGGACTTCAAATATGTGAGTCCTGTCTGTTGGGTTTAATGTTTTGCCAAGTGCGAATGGCTGAAGCACAAATTTCTCTTTTAGCCGTTTTGATAAATTCCTTCTGGCTACAGGATGTGTAAGGGGGTGAGGCCTTGACTTGGGTTCTGATGATCTGGTTTTAATTATTTAGGAAGAGTGGAGCCATGTTTTAATTATTCATCCCCAGGGAGGTGGGGGGGTCTCTGACCAGGCCCACCACTGTGGGCTTAGAAGGCTCACCCCAGTGTGAGAAGAGGCGATTTCTCTAGGGTCTGCAGTGACAATGCGCAGAGGGACCGTGAGCAGGCTGTGTGCTGGCCCTGACACCTGTTCTTCCCTCCCAGTTTCTCTATAGACATGACTTTGCGAAGGAGCGAGGGAGGCTCATTGGGGTCCGGAGTGTAGATGACGACCCCCGGCTGCAGCATTGCCGGCGCATGGGCCAGCTGCAAAGCGAGCGTCAGTACAAGTGGGAGGCAGCCAGCAGCCGAGCCCAGTGCCACCTGCCCATGGACATGGTCCACCTGGTCCACGCCAGGAAGGCCCAGGCCCTGGCCAGCGACCATGACTACCGGAGCCAGTGCCATGAGTTCACGGCGCTGCCTGAGGACCTGAAGATGGTCTGGGCCAAGAAAACCCATGCCCTCCAAAGTGAGGTAAGGGGCTTGTAGCATGCAAACCAGCCTACCTGCCTTCCCTCCATGCCTCTTCCTTGGCCTTTGGTCCCTCCCTGGACCAAATAATGACTTGTCTGGCCTCTGTCATCTAGGGTGGAATCATTTATTCCATTATTTAAGCAATATTCATTGAGCACCTACTATGTTCCAGGCACTAAGGTAGGCCCTGAGACTATAGCAGTCAACAAAAGCGTGAAAACTTTCCTATACTCTGAAACTTTCATTATCCTAGAAGGAGATAAACCAGGATAGATAAGGAAAATGTAGACTGTCTTATGGTGATACATGCTAAGGAGACAAATGGAGCAGGGAGGTCTGGTGGGAGGATGTGAATGTGTGTGTGTGTGTGTGTGTGTGTACATTCACATGCGCAGTTTAAAATAGGGCATTAGCTGGATATAGTGGTGCACACTTGTAATACCAGCACTCAGAAGGCTGAGGCAGGAAGATCCCTGTGAGTTCAAGGCCAGCTTGAACTACATAATGACTCTGTTTCCAAACTAACCCCCAAATAATAAAATAAAATAGAGGATAAGGGTAGTTCTCATTGGAAAGGCAATATTTCAACAAAGACCTAAAAGAAAGAGAGAGGGTATAGAGAATTATAGGCAAACAGAACAGTGTGTTCAAAGGCCAAGGACCAGGGCAGACACAGCCCTAGCATATTTGAGGCTGGAGAAAAGCAAGTGAGTGGGTGAGTGGGGGTATTTCAGGGGTCAGAGTCAGAGAGAGAACAGGATGAGACTGAGGACAGGAAAGGGAGAGGTGTCGACCATGGCCAACATTTACTGAGTGCTTCCTGTTGCTCTTGTCTTTGCTATAGCTCTGAGGTGGGGACAGTTGCTACTTCCAGTTAGGCCACAAGGGAGGGAGATACTGAAACAGGGCTGGTTCCAGAACCCACACTCTGAACTCTCTTGCTTCCTTGGAAGGAGCTCAGAGCAGAGGGATTGTGCCCCTTGTGGTGCCCATGTAGACCCTGAGACTCAGAAAGGGGAGGTGCTTTCCAGAGCTGGTGGGGGGTGCTACCAGCCCTTCCTGTGACATAGCTCTAGGGTCAGACTCTGAGCTGTTCCTCCCAGCTCCTCCACACCTGCTGTGTGAGCATGGGCAGGTCTGTGTCCTCAGGAAGCCCGGCCAAGCCATGGTAATGATGCCCTAGGGCATGGTAACAGGAATAGCGGGATTACTGCCAGTGTTTGTTGGGGACGTGCAGAGTGGCAGGATGGTGCCATGGGCCATTTGCTCCACAGCCACCCCGGAAGGAGGGTGCTCTCTTTTAAAAGGTAACCCAGGACCTGTTGGCACATTAGCCCTTTCTTCACTTTGATCCTGTGACGTCGTAGGTAGATATTCCTTTGTTGTGGCAGCCTGCCCCATGCGTTTCAAGATATTTAGGTACCCATGGAATCAACCAAAAAAGTTTCCAAATATTGTTAAATGTCCCCAGGGGGCAAAATTCGCCCTGGTAGAGAATATGGATCTCTGTGTGAATGGAGCCCTTCACGTGATGGCTGGGCTGTAGAGATACGACTGAGCACCAGCTGAGTCCGAAAGTGTCCCTCTATCAACGCTCCCAGTCCCGGTTGCCTTCAGGGCAATGTCTGCTCTCAGTTATATATTGAAGGAGATGGGGTACTATGAACACACAATAGGTTGTTTTTATTAATGTAATGATTAATTACAATTTGTCGTGCTGTGACATCACATCATTCACCACCAGGAAGCGTGTGGAGTAGACGGAGTTCATCAGGGCCCACACAGGGGACTTACTTACCGCAGTGCCAGCTCAAGTTCCTCTCAGAGTCCTTGTCCTACCTGAAGGCCACCGAGACCCTGAAAGCATGACCCTCCGGGGCCCACCCAGGGACCCTCTTGTCATGGCCCATTTTTTGGAAGGAAAGAAACCTTCTGAGACAGGAGGCAGGATAGACTCTTGAGGAAGACACTGAGGCCAAGTGGGAGAGGTAAGGGGGACTGAGCCAGGAGACAGACGGTGGTGGTAAGAACTCAGCTTTGTCCCTTACTGGTTGGATGTCCTCAAGTGACCATTTCACTCTCTAGGCCCTGTCTCTGCATCAGAAAGGCAAAGGTTTGAGCTAATCCATGAACTCAGCTTTTGAGATCTAAGGAAAAAAACATTGTTTTTTCAGTAGTGAGGATTGAACACAGGGAGCTGTAAGCTTCATCCCTAGCTTATTATTATTATTATTATTATTATTATTATTATTATTGTTATTACTACTACTATCACATTTTGAGTAGAGTCTCTCTAATTTTCTCAGGCTGTACTTAAAATTGTGATCCTTCTGCCCTGCCCTCCCAAGTAGCTGATATTACAGGCTACGGGATGTGCCACCACACCTAGGAAAAATGTTTAAGTGGTGGGATCAAAATATGTCAGATTTTATCTTACTGAGTAAGGAAAAAGAAAAAAAACTGAAGATATCTGAGGGTATTATTTATGTATCTGTTATTTCTGAAAAAAAGAGAAATTTTGTTGCTGTTTTAAGAGAACATAATCCCAAAAGGAAAAACGGTAATTGGTAATCTTGTGCTGACATTTAAAAAACAATATCTCTATTACTTTTTGAAGGCTAAGAAATTCTTTTGCAGTACTGGGGATTGAACTCGGGCCCTTCTGCATGGTAGGCAATACTCTACCACTGAGCTAAATCACTGGCCTTTCTTATTTATTTATTGGTTGATTGATTGATTGATTTTTAAATTTTGAAACAGAGCCTCACTAAGTTCCCTAGACTGTCCTCACCTCCTGCCTCAGCCTTCCGCGTAGCTGGGATACAGGCATGTGGTACTATGCCCACCTTACATGTATTTTCAGACTACAAACTGGCTAACTTGGAGGTCTGAGTTCCAAGAGATTATAAAAGAGCAGACCTTGAAATTTCCAGCTGCTCCTGAGATTTCATCGTTATTACAGTCATGATCAAGAGTTTAATTTCACATGGATATTTTTCGTAGAGAAAGAAACAAATGTTTATCGAGAGTTCACTTGCCTGGGCATCTGGGAAGGAGTCTGCTCAGTCAAGCTGCTTCTCCTGCCCTCTCTTATCCATGCCAGAAAGAAAGCTTTGGACTGGGCCAGATGCTCGCTACTGGGGCTGAGCTCCTCAAGGTCATAGCTACACCCTGCTCTCCTCAGGAGCTCACCTGTCACAGCTGGCACAGGTGATGAAGTCCCTCACGGACATGTGCCACTTTGCCCATCTCCTTGGTTCTTTCCAACCCTGCTATTCCTTGTTCCTTCTGTGCACTCACACTGGGGCTGTAGGCAGTCCTGATGAGCAAGTGGCCAGACTTGTACAGGTGAGAGACCTCAGGTAGACACCTGAGGCTCACCCAGCTTTATTTCTCCACCAGAAAGAACAACATTAATAACAATTGCAACCTGAGCCTGGTGTTAGTATAAATATTTTGCACAGTTTCATTTAATATCTAGCCAGGTACTGGTGCCACTCACATTTTTATAGATGGAGCAATAAGTCACCAATAACCTATGTAACTTGGCCTAAGCCACAAGTGGGCAGGGAAATGACTTGCTCAAAAGCACGCAGCCAGTAAGAGGTGAAGAGGGTCTTCCAGCTCTGGATCAGTCTCTGGCTTCCTCAGGTGGCTGGATTATGAACCTAGGTGCTCTGGCTCCTGAGTCTGCGACCTTAACTATTACCAGCATGATTGATCCAGATTATGCAGCTGATGGCTTTCCTGAGACTCTAAACATCATTTGAACACCAACCTCATTCTGTAGATGAAAATAGGAACTTTCTTTTGCAAAATGAGAGAATGGCCTAAAGCAAGCTCTGCTGTACACAACCTAGTGATGACAATGTTTTTGGTGTTAGTTTTTGTTTTTGATTTTTTGAGGCAGGGTCTCGCTGTGCAGTTCAGGCTGGCCTTGAACTTGCAGCAAAACTCCTGCCTCAGCCTCCTGAATGCTAGGATTACAAGCATGTGCCACCAGGCCCAGCTGTGACAATGTTTCTTCTTTATATGACAAATATATGCCTTCTTATAGGAACCTCCTGGCTGCAGCTGCTTCCATCATTTCTGTGTTCATTAGAACTCAGGGACTCAATGCTGTAGCTGGTATATTTGCAACACAGGGCTCTGAAATAGGGGTTCCTGGATATCCTATGTGTAAATCTGTGATGGCTTCTAGACCTCAGTATGTATAAGGAAAAGGGTGAGGTGCCATTTGGGGAAGCCAGATTCAGCTGGGCAGTTTGAGAATGTCTATTATTATCTTAGACTCATTCTTCACAACCGTCTTTGGGTAGCTGACTCCTGTCTGCTCCCCTCTTCTCCCCTCTCCCCTCTTTTATCATGAAGTCTGGGGCAGGTATGTTGTTTTTAGGGTCTGCGTGAATAGTCAAAGCTGGGCTGGGAGCTGAGATATCAATAGACAATCCATTTATAAGAGAGTCTGAGGCACAGTCAGATCTTTGGGGAACCTGCATCTTGCTTTCTGACTTACCTGCGATCGTACTGTTCAGCTCAACAAAAGGCGAGTTGAAAGAGCGCTCCCCACTTCATCTCGTTTATGAAAGGAGCAAGGCCTAGCTGTGAAGAGGCCCTGTAGGATTATTCTCTCCAACTTAGAAATTTATCCAATTTTCTTTGTTCTTTATCAGAGTAGAAGGCAAAAGCTTTGCTGGTGTAGACTGAAAGATCGCAATGTAAAAAGCAATCTTACTGACATGGGGTTTTGAAACCTGCTCCCGAGCCTGAGTGATGTCTCCCTTCACCAGTTGGAAAGCAGAGTTGAATTTGCACAGGGGCATTAACCAGCAGACAGTAGATCAGAAACGGACCCTCTTTGAGGCCAGCTGTGAGGAATGCTGTGAATCCTGAAATGAAAGAAAACTAAAAAGGCCGAGAGGCTGATTTCCGGAGTGATAGTTTGCGTTACAGACGAGGTTATATCTAAATTGAAGAAGCACCATCAACTTCGTTTAGATCCAAATTTTAGATTTCCTTAGAGAGGGTTCTTTTTCCACCTTTAAAATGCCTAATTTCCATAAAGAGAAGAAGAAAGGCACTTGGGTGACTGTCTCGTTGCAGGTAACGGTGGGCAGATCAAGGAATCATAATGAGATTGGATGTTTCAGCGAGCTCCTGATCAGACCCATTGTCTCAGAGCACCTCTTCGTGTTTCCTCCCAGGAAGGATGCTGTAATACTCATCTTCTTAGCCTTTTAAATAGAGGAGAAGGCCTAGTCCATATTTGCAATATAAGCAAATCAGAATAAGTCACAATGGGAGGATGAGATAAACTGAGGCTTGAAAAGACTAAAAGGGCTTACTCCCTATTAGCCTGTTGCATCCAAATTTGTTGCAGCTTTGAGTCTTGCTGTACTTGCTTCCTGCCCCTTCCATTGTCATTACTGCAAGAACAAAACTCCAGTTGGCTCCTGTCCTCTCAGCTGTTTTCAGGAGACCAGAGGGGGTACTATGACCTTCAAGTGTCACAGAGGGAAACTGAGTCATATTTTGGTAGTGATTTGCTCCAGGTCACAGAAAGTTTGATCCAGGACTCAGAGCCCTTTTATTAACAGAACGGTGTGCAGAATATTTCTGGGGAGGCAGGTAGTCAGTCAGTCCCCTAGCTAACAGAATGAGACAAAATGTTCCTGGCAGATGCTTGGATTTGAGCACGTATTCATCTCTGTCTTTAAGTGATCCACTGCAGAAGTAATCACTTGCTTCAAAACCTGCTTCACCTGGTGTTGGGGGACTTTTTGTATCTTGGGCACAATCCATTATTTAATTCCTGGTAGAGTGCAAAAATTCAAACAGTCGGGCTTGATAACATATAGAATGTGCCGTCCATGAAGATATTGAACTGTTGTGATGAAGCATTATTATAAGTCAAGGACTTTCTTGAAATGCCCTAAACCACCTAGGTTATCTTCTGATAAAAGCCTGTGCTTCTTCCTGCAGTTTCGCTACAGGTCAGACCTGATGGGCATGAAGGGGACAGGATGGCTGGCACTGAGATCTCCACAGATAGAGAGTGCAAAGAAGGCTGGAGAGCTCATCAGCGAGGTACCTGGAACCTGGTCCTACCAGAACCATGGGGGCCACCTAGCATTTCCTTTTGGAGACAGAACCTATTTATTGAGTGCAGATGCCTAGAGGGCCCTAGGGCCATGATGACTTCTGGTGTTTTTCTGGGGGTCTTTGTAACCAAATCCTAAAACAAAAAGATTTCCCTCTAAATAAATTCACTGTTGGGGAACTAACTTATTGCACGATTATGATCTACAATGGCCCATTGTTTTCACATCTAGATGGGGAGGCAGTCACATCCCCTAAGTTTACTCCCCTTGTCCAGGACCCAGCAGCTCTCTGACTTCCACTGATGTGAAAAGCTGCACAGTGATAGGGATCTCAACTAGACTTTCCACCAGATTGATGAGGATCCTGCCCTGGAATCCCCTTGAGGGCAGCACTGCCCCCTTCAGTTTCTTAATAACAGAATTTGGTCAGACAGGGTCCGAGCAGGGTCCCATTGATGCTGAAAGATGCCCTTTACTAAATTCCTTTATAAGAAGAGCCTCTTCTTCTACCATAGAGTAAATACCTGTCAAATGTCCCATGTCACAGAGAAAAGCTTGGACTTTTTTCAACTTTTGACAGCTAGGTGACCACCAAGAAAAGAGACTTGTCCAGTAAAACCAGTGGTACATTCAGACCTGAGAAGGTGGGTCGAAGCTGCATCCAGAAAATGCATGATGTTTGACTGTGCTCTGTGGGACTCTTTGTCTTTCTGTTCAGACCAAATATCGTAAAAAGCCAGACAGTATCAAGTTCACCACTGTGGTTGATTCTCCAGACCTGCTTCATGCCAAAAACAGCTACCTGCACTGCAATGAGGTGAGTGTTTTCTCCTCACTCATCCTGCGCATAATGTAGGGTAGTGCTGTTCAGTGGTCAGTGCTGACCAACACAGACTCTGAGCAGCTGTGAATGCAACCTTGTCTGGTTGGCCATGGGCCAGTTGCTTTATCTCTTCTAACCTTGTTTCCCTTATTTGAAGGAGGTAGGGGGTAAGGAGATAATGATAACAACTATTTCATAAGATTAAGTGAATTAAATGAGGATTAAATACATAAAGGCAAATAAGGCTTTTAGAAAGTCCTGGGATCATAGAAAGTCTTCTATAAATGCCCCATATTATGGTTTGACTCATAATGATGATAATGCCAAGCATTACTGATGATCCCCTACCAAACATGAGATCAGATACATCTTAATTGCTGATGGAATGGCAGTAGAATTAAAAGCTTAATATACTCCATAAAAGAATAACTATATTTAAAGCATCTTTCTGCTTTTTTTCTCTGCATAACTTAGCCCAATTTCCTCTTGCCTATGTTTATTTCAAGGAATAAAAACCTAACTTATTTCCCCCCCAAATTGCCGAGGGATTCAATCACACACACACACACACACACACACACACACACACACACACACACACACACACAGAAACAGAATGGCCTCCTGCTCACAGAGAGCCCAAGTGCTGCACTGACCAATTCATGCTTGCAAAATTCAAATTGGATTTGGGAATGGATCCGACTATCCCACTTTCTTCTCTAAAAGTAGATGAGGCTGAAACACTTCCTAAAATTATTTGCAGATCTTAAATGGGTGCTCTAAAAATAACCACCAACATGAAGCTTGAGGCTTAAATTGCATCTTCCCAGATGAACTATGAACACCTTAATTCTTTGAACACTCCTTAAGGTATTTTAAATGAATAGGGCTCATTACCTGTGTGTACTATGATTACCATTGATGTTAAACAACAAAGGCCTGAGGCTACATCTTGTTACCAATAAAAAGCATGTGCAGTGATCAGTTGCAAAGATTCTCTGAGACAGCCACACATCTTAGACTGCACCAAATGCACGACTAAGGCCAACCAGGTTTGTGGCCCACTTGGAGCAGATCTTGGTATTTTTAACAGGCTCTGTTTAAAACCAGACAGCTGCATTTCAGCCTGGATATATAGAAACTTTCCTCTAGCAGATGGTTCTAGAAGGATACCCCCCATGGGCAGGACAGGTTCCAGGGCAGCCTGGGGGCCATCAGGCGGGAAGGGCAGGAAGGGAATCAGCTGCTTTATACCTGTGGTTTCAGCAATTGCAGTTTCACCTTGACCTTGAACCTGTCTTACTCACAGCGCCTGTACAGGTTGGGAGATGCAGAATCTCTGCACCAATACACCCTGATTCCCGACCACCCAGAGTTTGCCCGAGCCCGCCTCAACGCGCTGCATCTGAGTGATGTGAGTGAACCTCTCTGTACATGTGATTTGTGCTGCCTTTGTGAGACTGTCTGTCCAAAGGGGATTTTATTTGATTTTTTAAAAAGTCCTGGGAAGGAGAATGTGGAACAGAAAGAACACCTGACTGAGCGGGACAAACTGCAGGTGTGACTTCCTGACCCCATCCTTGCTGGGGCTCAGTTTGTTCACCTGTAAACTGGGAATGGGGCTGAGCTGACTCAGGTTCTTTCTAGCTCTAGAAATCTAGGTTCTGGGATGGCTGAGTGGCCCCAGGCCCCAGCAAGTGTAGACAGTTGCTCTGTTTATTTCCCAAGTCCCTCTCATCGGCCACTCCCAGGAGTGTACCCCTGTTTGGAGGGGTAGGTACTCCACGGTAGCCCCGGCCAAGTGTGGCTGGCTCCTTTGTGTGCAGGACGCTGCCCTCCAACACTCCAGCTTCCGTGGACGTGCGCTCCTTGCATGACTAGCCAAGACGCTGTTTCTTAAACCCAGGCTTGTTGTTGGCAGGGGTTGGAGGCCCCGGGTTGTAACAGAATAGGCAGCCGTGCGGCCAGCGAAGCTGTGATCCCAGGATAACAGGTAGAGAGGCGGCAGAATCAAAAGGCACTGTCAGAACAGAAGGACACAGGCCGAGTGTCGGCCTGGGGCAGCGCGCGGCCTCCCGGAGCCCAGCCATTCTTCCCTCCCTGGCCTGGCCATTGTGTCCTGGGGCTCCGTGCAAGCGACAGCTGCTGCCGCTCACCCCAGAGGCGGCGCCTCGCAGGGGTTGTGAGAGGCGCCTTCTAGTTAGCGCGTGTGTTAGTTTGTTGCGTTTGTAAAGCCCTGTGGGATCCCACGCAGTGAATGCGCCCGTGCATTGTAAATACGAGTTATGACCATTTGATGCTTTTGAAGGATGTGCGAGGGATAATTTTAGAACAGTAGCTCCAGTAGGCTGACCTCTATCCGGGGAAGCGGCCGCCCCCTCTGCTGAGCCCGCAGAACATCCACCTCATTAGCGTGCAGGGGACAGGGAGGCGAGGCCTCCACCCGAGGGACTCTCTCCGAGACTGCCGGAGGAAACTGGCGTGAAACCCCCACTTCATTCGGGGCCCAGCTGAAGGAGGACAGAAGCCCCTTCCCTCTCCCAGGGGAGCCGGCCCACAGAGTCCTGGAGTTGAAATCAGCTGCCAGGGCAGGTGGGTGTGGAGGACTCACAAACCCAATTTGAAAGAGCACTTCTTCGGCTATGTGGGACGTGCACAAGTGGATCAAGTGCTCTGCGCGGAGGGTGTGGAGCCAGAGTGACCTTCCTGGGCAAAGAAAGCCATTGAGATGTGGAAGGCAGCCGAAATAACTCAAAATCAAATGACTCTAATGTGTGAGGATGCGGACAAAACTGTGCCCACTGTGATCAAGAAGAGGAGTGCCCAGGGTTCCAAATCAAAGCGCCTGCGGAATCTAAAGAACCCAGTGGCAAGGCAAAAGCCTCAACAGAATAAAAACCCCGGGAGGAAGTGATCAGTCAAGCAAATAGTACACAGGGAGGAGCCGCTGGAGCCGGGGCGTCCCTGCACCGGGGGTCTGGGGTGGCTCTCTCTCCACTTGACCCCCAGTCTCCAACACTAGGAAGCTGGGTGCATTGGACACCAATATGGGGCGATGTTGGACTTGCAGGTCTTTCGAAAAACTTGGCCTCAGTAAGTAGCCCAGCTCTGGTGTAGAGGCTCTTATCAGGAAGGCATCGGGTCCCCCTCAGGGAGAGTGGTAGAGGTCTTGACTCTATTTGCTACTGTGATATTGGCAGAACCACCAAAATAGGAAGCATAGTGCTAAAGGAGTTGTTGTTGTGTCATTGTCTGAATGCTCCTCGCCTTCTACGTTTCTTTAAGCCCTGTGCTGAGCTCAACAGTGGCTCAGGAAGTCTAATCATTTGTCTCTGTCTGTTATCTATCAACTAGGTGATTACCCCAGCCATGAGTAGATCTGTATTCCGGGGTCTTGAACACTAGGGATTTGGCTCATGGCTTCTGGTGTTGGGTATTGGAGTTGGAGGTGATGGTGAAGGTGATGATAGCAACAGAGTGTTAAGACGGTGAGACCCACCCTGCTCGGCCCAAGTGCTCTGTGACCCCCTCTAGTGCGAGGTCCAGTGTGAGAGAGGGTAGCAAACTTTGCTTTTCACCTGCTCCTCCTCCTTTGCTCAAGCTTCCATTGCCTTTAGAACAGAGCACCAGCCTTGACCTCTATTTCCAGGTGATAAAAGTAAGGTTCTTAAGGCCTCCTGATCTGCTGTAGCTCACAGAATGAGCGAGTGACCGACACGGTCTGGGGCCATCACTTTGTCATTTGTTGGTGATGGGCTGTCCTGCTGTCTCCCTTCTCTGTGGCAGAATAAAGGACAACGTTCCGCTGGGATCTCCTGAAGATTCCTTTCATGGAGCAATTCCCTTATCTTGAAAAAAAATTAGCTATGTGAAGGCACAGAAGATTTTGATGCCCCTATCCGTGATTCGGGTCTACCTGAGGACTGAGAGGACATGATTACAGACTCTCAGGGGGGCTTGAGTACAGCTTAAAAAGGGAAAAGAATGAAAGGGAAAGAGATGAAGGACATGGGTCAGGTACTCGGTCAGGTTCTCTGCAATGTGTTTAATACAGGTGGAGGCTCTTCCCTTTGGAGCAGGCAACTGGGTAGGTGCAAGATGTGGCCTGCCTCACAGACATGGGGTGCATGTGGCATCAAAGCCAGGCTGAGGGCTCACCCGGAGTTAGTGGAACCCACAGGCACATGGTGCCAAGACCCAAGGAGCAGCACAATTGTCAATGTGTGGGGAGAAATGGGGTTCTGGAGCTCTGAGTTCTGGCATCCAGAAGCCAAGGCATTGAGAGAGGATCCAGAGACAAGGAGAGGCTGGAGCCAGACCCACAGACCGCAAGCTCCACCAGAGCAAGGCATCATGGTCAGCTAGGGACCTTAGAGCTGAAGCCCCTCATGGCCAACCCTGGGGAGGCCCCAGATTGAACAGGGGGCCATGGTCTCTGCCTTCTTCAGGACACACTGGGTGTAGGAACCACTCTTGCTGAGAACCAGTCATACCCAAACCAGGTTGTCACTCCTTGCTTACCCATGCTTTTCTTTTCCCAACCCAGAAAGTCTACAGAAACTCTTGGGAGCAGACCCGGGCTGGTGGATATGACTTCAGGCTGGACGCGATCCCATTCCAGACGGCCCGGGCATCCAGGGAGATTGCCAGTGATGTAAGACCCCAGGCTCACTCCACTGCGGACAGGTTTCATACCGTTCTTCCCAGCGCCATTGACAGGCACAGGACAGATGCAAGGATGTCACGAGTGTCGCTATCCACACCAAAATGTAATATGTACTTCACAGGAGATAAAAAGCAGGCCCATTTTCTAGGATCTTAGCCAGAGATTTGGGATTAGGGGTTTTCATTCCTATTCCCTCTCTTTTAGGAGAGGCACTCTTAAAAGTTGGTGGGTGAGCACCTAGAAATCAGGGAGCATGTGGCTGGTCAGGTAATTTTCAGTAAAGGGACTTCTTCAAGCAGAAGCACAAGCAGGGAGTAGAAAGCAACTGGGACTTTGCCCTAGGTTGACCTGAGTTTGAGCCTTGGCTCTGCTGCTTAGGAATTGGCTATTTGATTTGGGCAGGTTGCTTAAATTCTCTGAACTCAAATTTCTGTATCTGTGAAAGAGTGATCTAATACCTGTCTTCTAGGATAAATGTAGGGATGAAAACAAAATGATTTGCAGTGTTTGGCACACATCAAGTATTCAGAACATGTCATCTAGTATCACTGAAGAGGAGAGCATTGCTGATGAGACACTAGACACCAGTCCACCCATGAATGGCTGTTTGCTAGTCACTGTGAGATAAGGACAGAAATCAGGGGCAAGGATTCAAAAATGTCCTTAGCAATTAGACACCAAAACATCCAAGTACGTGACTGGTGGGCGCAACTCAATGAACAGGGTAAAGGGCAATTTGCAGGTTATCAAGTGCTGGGGTAGGTCTCTGATGGATTAGAAATGTAGCAATCAGTGCTAAGTGAAACAGGTCCTTCACGAATGATTTGGGAAGCACTAGACTAGGTTCAAAAGATCAAAGAAAGAATGGACACATTTTCCTTCCTGGTGGAGTATTGATTACAGCAACGACAATACCAGAGTGGGCACAGATTGGTGCCAGGCTTGGCGCTCAACACCCATCTCATTGTATTCCCAACATCCCATGGTTCTCCCATTTTATCAGATGGGAGAATTGAGGCTCAATAACTAGCCAAGACCACACAGCTAGCCCTACTGAATCCAAAGCCTGTGGTTCTAACTAGAGGGGAGGTGGGTCCCTCTGATTCACCTCTACTCCTCTGACTTGCAGTTCCGGTACAAGAAGGCCTTCCTGCGGGACCGGGGCCTGCAGATTGGGTACTGCAGCATCAATGATGACCCGAGGATGAAGCATTTCCTCAATGTTGGCAGGCTGCAGAGTGACAATGAGTATAAGAAGGACTTTGCCAAGAGTCGGTCCCAGTTCCACAGCCGCACAGATCAGCCTGGCTTCCTCCAGGCCAAGAGGAGCCAGCAGCTGGCCAGTGATGTGCATTACAGGCAGCCCCTGCCCCAGCCCACCTGCGACCCAGAGCAGCTGAGCTTGAAGCATGCGCGGAAGGCCCACCAGCTGCAGAGTGATGTGAGCCGCCTTTGTATAACCCATGTTACCTTCTTCAGGGAGCCGGGCTGAGATGGCAGCCCGGACACTGGGGAATTTAGAACCAGAAGGAATAGCTGCAATAATTACTGCGCATTTTCTGTGCTCTGTGCCATGCTCTGTGCGAAACGCTTCCTGAGCATCATGCTCTGTTGCCTCCAGGATCCCACCACAGCCTCATTTTACAGATGAGGAACCTGGGGCCAAGAGAGGTTAAGTAGATCTGGAATACAGACCCTATTTCGGTTGATGTGAGAGCCCAGCATCTTGATTACTATGCTGAACTGTCCCTGAGGGGTCTCAGTAGTTACCTAACCCAGCCCTTGCACTTTTCCGCGGGAAGAAAATGAAGCCCAGAGGAGGGAAGCAACTTCTCTGAGGCCACAGGGAATGAGGCGTTGCCCCAACCCCACCTTAGCCCACTGCAGCTCCCACCACTCAAATAGAATATGTGAGTGACAGCTGCACGCTGGCCAGCTCAAGGTGGGGACATCAGATCTTCTATGCCAGGGAGCTCCGGCTTAAGACGAATCTGCTCCCCTTGTCCTCACTTTACAGATGACAACACAGTCCTCATCTTGTGGCTGCCTTTTAAATCCTAGTCACTCTGTGGTCAAAGCCCCCGAGCCCTGCTGACACATTCCTCTCGCTTCCTCCTTCCCCCAAGGTCAAGTACAAATCCGACTTGAATCTCACCAGAGGTGTTGGCTGGACCCCTCCTGGCTCCTACAAAGTGGAGATGGCTCGGCGGGCTGCAGAACTGGCCAGTGCGAGGGGCCCGGGGCTCCGGGGGGCTTATGTGAGTAGTGAGCTACAAACTCACCCTGCCTGCTAAGACCACAGGAAAAGACAAAGTGATTGTTTCTTTTCAAAGTTTATTTTTGGCCAAAGGTCAGCTGGCTCTAAAGAAGTGTGAAATGCAGCTGAGCAAGGCACCTAATTTCATGGGTCTGGGATGACCGGGTGAATGACACTCAGGTTAAACTTCCTGCAGGGCTTTCTCTGAAGTCACAGCCATTAGTTCTGCAGAGGCAAACCTACCAGGGAGACATCAATCCCGGGCCAGGGCACCCAGGCTGTGCTGACTGCTTGCTTGTTACACGTGCAGAAAGGGTCAGGGGCTTGCTAGCTACAACAGCCTGCATTTTGAACCCTACTTTGTTCATAAGAAAGACAACGAGTAAATGATAGATTGGCTCTGCTTCTTTCTCATTCTTGCCTTGAGGATCCTTTTTCTTGAGTAAGGTGGAGGAAGGGGCCGGAAAGGGAGGATGGATATGTGAAATGCTGCAGGAGCATCTCAGCTGGCAGCCGGGGGGGGGGGGCGCCTCTTTGTTTTAACAAGGGGGATGCATTTGATTTCTGCAGGGGCCGCTGGAGGAGGCTGGAGATCATCCAAGGGGGGAGGTGAACCCAGATGCCACTGAGATCCTGCACGTCAAAAGGAAGAAGGCTCTGCTGATGTGAGTGAACGGGCTCTGCCCCTGATTCTTGAGAAAGAAGCCACAGTGGAAGTCTGAGAGCCCTACTTTAGATGGCTTCTGTTTGAGCAACTGTAAAAAATGGCACCATAGCCCATCTCCAGATCTGCCTTTATTAAAATGACAACTCTGAAAGCAAATAGAAGATATTGTATTTTTGTTCTTTTCTGTAATACCTGGATGAGAATGGGGGCTGTTGAGTACTTTAGGTGTTTGGGATGAGAGTAAAGAGTCAAGGTGACCGTCACTGGGGCAGGGCATTCTGTGATCTCGCATTTGTAGGTGTCCCTGGCAGAGGCAGGCTCTGTGAACACTGATTTTCTAGAAGGTACAGTTGTCCGAAGGGAAGCAAAGCTAATACATCCAGTGTTGAGTGCCTCATTCCTGGGCTCCCCAGGGAGGCAGAGGGAGCCTGGGGAAGTGCTCTGCATGCTGGCTGGCACGACCCAGGGCAGGCGGCAGGTGTCTCTGCCTAGAGCAGCACACTCCGCTGTACGCCTCGCTGCCCATGAGGTCTGCTTAGTCTGGTGCAGAGGAGGGTGGGCTCCGAGGTTCCAGGACCTCAGACAGCCTCCTTTTGCATGGTGGTTTTGATCCAGTTCAGGAACTTGGTAACTTGGGTATAGACCCCTGGCTTTTTCCCACATTCCTGGCCCCAGCTCACAATCCCATAGACGTAGTAGATGCCGTTCTTCTCACAGGTCAGAGGACCTCCAGAGTCACCCTACGGGGAAAAGCAGCAGAAGTTCAGCCTTGTGGACCTGAACACATTCAGAGGTGCCCGCCTCATCTCTCAAGGGTGCCAGAAGTGATGGGGTGGAGTTGCCTGCTGGCCATGTGGGCTTCTCCGGAAAGTGGTGACAACTCTCTTCCCATCCCTCCCATGGTGCAAGGCTCTGAGCAGAGAGAAGCTACATCGGCAGTCCAGGAGCCCAGGAGGTCTTGGCAGAGAAGCCCAGGGCTGCAGTCACAGTGTAGTTGGAGATCCTGCATCCTGATCCTTAGTCCTGCAGTGTTATCACCGCTAGTCCTTCTGGCAGCTGACTAAGGGGGTGGTGTTCGATCTTCTGGGTTCCAACCCAGGCTCTGCAGGCTGCTAGCCATATGGCTTGGGGCCTTGGTTTCTCAGCTATAAACTATGCATAGCAACTGACAGCCTCCCCCGGGGTTCTTGTGAGGATACGCTGGTTGTAAAGTACATAGAACAGAGTCTGTTTGTGTCCAGTCCTCAGTGGCAGTGGTAAGGATAAGGATGGAAGAAAGAGCACCGACAAGGAAACTCACAAACAATGCTGTTCACGCACTACAGCTAACAGATCTTTAAAAACTGAGCCCCCTCTCTTAATCCTAGCTACCTCCTGATGATCTTATGGGCATGTTAGCTCCACGAGGAACCAGAGACTGGAGAATTCCTTGGGTGATCGATCAAGATCACACAATAATTGACAGAAACAGGCTTGCAGCTCATGGCTATCTAGTTCCAAACCTACAAGTGCCCCTGAATTATCTAGAGAATTGAAAGAACTCTTTTTGTGCTCATTTTCCAGGGGCTTAGGATAAATCACCCCCACCTGCCCTTGCCCCTCCCCTGAGTACATGGATATCTGTGGCCCCTTGGGCAAGGACTCAGGATCACAATACAGCTCCAAACCCTAGAAAAAGAAACCAGTTTCTGTTCCCAAAGTGGGCTCAAGGCTGGCAAGTCTATTGGGTCTCTTTGTAGGTGGCTCCATCAAGGGGCTAAGATTTGAATGTGATTGTGCTGGGGTTTCCAGGAAAGTTGAGTGGTTCATAAGGACATTAGGCAGAAAATCCTAAAATGGGGTGCCTCTGGGTGTCTGGAAAGGATTACCATATGTGATGCAAGCCCCACAGAGGAGCTCTGTGGTGCAGTCTTTGACATGGGGCAGGGCCTGAAGTTCCATTAGCACCGGTTGATGGAGCCACCACCTCCTGCAGCATCTCTAGGTCACCACAGGTCTCAGCAGCTGTGGTGGGGACAGAATCCTAAAAGTCTGGACTAGGTGGGATGTCAGGCAGGTTCCAGGTTTGGCTGTGTTCAGAGTCATGTAGAATGCTAGGGCTAAATCAATCTCCTTATCTCTGCCTTTGTTTCTGTTTCTGTCTCTGTCTCACATACATTGAAACCCCAATGATTAATAACACCATTGTGATGTCTCTAGGCCTTACATCACTTTCCTTTTAATCACTGGTCTGGTGGACAGTGCCCTGTTTAGGGGGATGTCCTGCAGAGCTGGGGTTTTCAAATTTAAGGCCTGTCACTTATTATCCTGTTGCTATAGGTAAACGTGACTTTCCTAAGCATCTATAAAATGGTGACAGTGACATGCCCTTCACCAGAGTGTTGTGAGACTTCAATTAATTAAATCACAGTGCAGCCAATGTGATCACTGTGGTTATTAGGCCGAGTCACCCTGGCTTGATGTGGATTCAGACGTGCTGGGGTCAGATATGCCCTGCCTGTGCCTTAGCTTTGTGACAGCTGGCCTGGCTCCCATCCAGAACCCTATGGGGCTCTGTGCCTATGTAAAACTCTGCCAACCTCTCCTTCACCAAGTGCATTTGGCATCTGACCTGGCAGGTGTCTTGCCCAGGTTTCTGAAGGTTTCCTGCACAAATCATACTATCATCAATCGTTTGGTCATAGAGTCTTCGGGAGTTGCATAAAGTGCTGGCAATCAGCTTGACTTTGGCATCCAGAAGCTGTCGGGACCCTTCCCCTGTGGACAGAAAAGAGTCACCACTGTGGGGACCAGGGTGTGACCCACCCCACCAGACGCTAATACCCCACCGGACACTAATGGTGTGAGGAGAAGGCCACCATCCCTCAGCTCAGGAAGGAAGGCATTTCCCAGGAGACGAGCAGAAGAAGCCTGTCTTCCAGCCCTGGGGACCCCTCTCCTTCAGCCTTCATCATGCCTGTGCGGCTCCTCTGAGCACAGTGGAACACAACTGTTTATTTCCTCTTCTGGCTCCTAATTACACCATGAGGTCCAAAAGGGCACGGGTGATGTCTGCCATCTTTAAAAGTTTCTAATATCAGTGGAATGGCTGGCATAAGTAGATTCTGAATGACTGAATGAAGTTTCCTAGTGCATTAAATTGTCTGCTTCTAAGAGAAGACATCCCCACCCAAGATAATGAAATCAGTCAAAATATGTCATTGACTTTAAACCTACTGTCTTAGAGGACTATTTGTGAAAAACAAAATTGTTTTAACCCGAGGCCCTGTAAGATTCTCAACTAAGACATCACCATGCTGTCTAGACCACACTGAGTAGAAGAGAGGACGAAAAGTTTGGATGGGCTGGAATGAACTGCTGCAAAAAGAGTTTTCTGGTTGGCCTTAATTCCAACTGGCCCCAAATCTCTTTCCCTTAAAGCCTCTGACACTTTGGTATATTACATTTCACTTTCTTTAGAAATAGAGACCTAAAGTGCTTCCCATCATTAGGGACAAGATTGGGAGAGACAACAAATGCAGTGTGAATATTTGGGAAACCCTTGAAATACCCCTCTGAATGTCTTTGTATTTGAGGATATAATCTTGCCCTGGTCATGATTCCAAATCTTGGCAGTAATTATTGAGAAATTAAAAGCGAGTTGCGCAAGCAACAAAGCCGAGGATGTACTGCAAGTGTGTCTGGTACTGAAGTCCAGCTCTTTCCAGTCTGCCTTCCTTGCAGTCCACCTCAGGAAGGAGAGGGTCTCGGTGGGTACAGGATCAATGCTTGAGAAGAGTGAGTATCTGGGAGCAGAGGCCAGGGACTGATATGGAGCCAGGGGAGATCAGGAGGGAACATTCCCTGCCGATGGTAAGATTTACCTGGAGCTTGATGATGAAGCAGGTTCTTTCTTTTGATAGTCCATTTTAAACTTATTTCAAGTTAGAAGGGCAGTTGGGGTTGGCCCTTTTTTCTCTGGTTGATGTAGCTCCCCTGAGTCAGGAGAGATGCAGGGACCGACTCACCTGTTTCTGTCACACCCCAGCCAGAGATGTGGCACTCAGTCCCCGAGGGAAAGGAATCATCGGGCAAACAAACCGTCTTCACGTATTTGGATTCCAGAGCACAGTGCCCATCCACTGGCTTTAACTTGAGCAAAGCTAGGCGGAGAGAGGGGAAGAAATGGATGTGACCTCAACTCTTTGGCAGGGGAGCATCAGCTTTCAGCTTGCATTGGAAGGTGGTGGTAGGGAAACTCCACCCTCCATGCCTGAAAAGCTTCTTCCTTGGTCATTTTATTTTTTAAACTTCCACTTGAGAGGAGAAACACAGGCTGAGAGTGATACTAGGAAAAATAAATGTGTTTAAAATCATTTCTAGTCCATTTTAAAAAGCAGGTTGTTGGGGCCCAGGATTTAGCTCACTGGTTCGGCCACCTGCCTTGCAAGCACAAAATCCCGAGTTCGATCCCCGGTACCAGAAAAAAGCCGGTTGTTAGAGAGGGAAGAGCGGGTGGGGTGGGGGGTCCTGTGAGGGGGAGATAGGGTGCAGAACTGAGCAGCCAGTAGCTTAAGAATGTCATTGCCTCTGAACCAGAGCACCCTGTGCCAGTGCCAGGTGTGTCCATGTTGACATCAGGCAGCTTAGCGCTGTGCAACAGTGTCCCCTAAGAGAGGCTCAGTGGGGTTACCCGACTCCTAACTAGGAGGCAGGGGACCTGGGATTCCCAATGCAATGCTCCTAGCATCCTAGCATCCCTTCTCTTCAGTTTAAGGGTGTGTTCATTTTTCCACAACACAGACACATACTCTTGGAATAAATTCTCCACATTACAGGGTCCCCAAGGGACCAAAATGATTATGAGAACATTCTGGAACCAAACCTCAGCTTCCCATCAGCAGAGAAATCCACCCAGGGGAGACACACAGGAGGGTCATGAGAGAGGGGACTTGCCAATGTCGTTGTGTGGAATCTCATCTCTTTCGTTATAGTGGTTGTACTTGATTATCTTCTCCACTCTGAAGGTCTGCTCATGGAATTCTGTCTTCTTCAGGTCCTGGTCCCCTAGCACAACTTTTAAATGTTTGGTCTTTATGCTGTGGGGGGAAAGTAAAATTGTTGGGAAATTAATTGTGCTGGACAGTAAGAGGCAAGACCCAAGCCCTCACTCTGCTCCTGGTGGGCTGTGTGGTCTTTGACTCCGGCCTTCTGCAGCCTCAGCACCCTCATTCCTAGTCTTTTCTCCTTCACAGAACCCTGCTGTGGGTTCCAAATAAACAGAAGCAGACTCCAGGTACGAACGGTTGTTTGTATCCCAGTTTTCCTTCGAGACCTCCTCTTTTCCCTGGGCCTTGGCAAAGGACAGCCATCAAGGTCCTGAGAGCATCTGCTGAGATTCTTGGCAGGTGCCGGGTCTGCACGCCTGACTTTCTCCTCGAGTGCCTCGTAGAAGCCCAGCGGAGGTAATTTAATAACAGGGTGGATGGAAAGACTGTCAGAGCCACCTCCAAACTCTGGGCTTCATGGAACCAGCTCTGACCGTGAACCTAGGGAACTCAGAGGAGGTGGGGATCCCTCAGCCCCCGGAAGTTGCTTGCTTCTCTAAGGTGCACAGGAGGCCTGGGCGAGGACACTGAACCCCGAAGGCTCACTGGTAACAACATCAGACAGTGCAGCAGGTTATTTTATCTGCTCAGGGCAGGTCAGTGTGAGTGTGGTTCCCATTCGCTTGCTTTCCTTTCACATGGCTTTAGGGACGGTGCTAAGCCTTTCTAAGACCCAGGGCCTTGTTAATGAAAAGGGAAAAATATCCCCTTCCTCTCCATAGATTCTAACTGAACATTTGCTATGTACAAAGACCTGCTGAAGGCGCTGGGGATACTACAGTGAGTGAAACAGATAAAAATCCCTGCCTTCCCTCGGCTTGTTTTCCTGGAGCTCATTTTGAGGATTAAATGTCATATAACACTTGCACTGCCCATGCTAGGCAGTGTAGATATGAGGGCTATTTTCTCTCTGGTCTTTTGAAGTCACATTTTGGCCTCTGGAGCATTTGGCCCTAATGCTGCCAGGGTTAGTGGGAAGGGGAGGCCACCAGGCTGCATTGGAGTCACCTAGTGGGCACTCACTCAGTACAGTGGGCAGCAGTGAGCACCCAGCAGGGGTGGATCAGTGCACCACCGCAGAAGTGGCCTTGGGGTATGGAGGTGGCCAAAGGCACCGAGGTCTGCAGCGATGCCTGCCACGGGTGCTTGCCCACTGTGCTCTTAAAGCCTCCGTAGATCCTCTTGATCTTTCTCTCTGCAACCTCCGTCCTCCCGCAGGAGTCAAACCCCAAATGCTGGATCGGAGAGTCCACGGGCCTCTGCTCTGGGTTGGCAGTGTCTGCGGGACACGAGAAGACAGGTCACCCAGCTGAGCCTCCGTCTAGTCTCTTGGAAGAACCTAGCCCAAGATAAGACTCGGAGTCCAGCAGCTGAGCAAATGGCCAGCGCTGAGAGCCTGCACCGGTGTGCACAGGGTGGGCATGTTGTTGCTGCACAGTGATGTTTGTTGGAAATCTTTATTAATATAAAGCAAGTCTTTGAACTAACAGTGAAGATGCTGCTTTTCCTCTTTATTTCAAAGTGTATCTGTGTGTGTGCATGCATGTGAATACACAGATCCATCACCTAGCTACTTGTTCATGGACACACACAATATTTGGGAGGCTGTATCAGTGCAGAGGGAGGATCCCAGATGCAGTGGAAGAGGGCAGCTGAGCATTTGCAGAGGTTACTGGGATACAGAGGAGAGAGCAAGTGGTGTGAGTGTTGCCTTGCTCCCTTCCTTGGGCTTGTAAGGAGAGAGAAATAACATGGAAACCAAAGAGGACTTCTCAGAGGAGCGGACGCTTGGCTTTGTTCCCTAACAACGGTTGGAAATGGACAAGAGCAGATATGGAATGGAGTGTTACAAACAGAGGCAACCATAATACAAAGGCACTTGTCAGGGAGGGAACCCCCTTGGTCACAGTAGGAGGACACATTGCTCTGAATGTGGGCACCGAAGTGGGCCAGGAAGACTGGCAGGAAGGCTGTGAGGATGGAATCCAGGCCAGTTGCACCCAGAGAGGCCATGGGGGCCCAGCCAATGTTTGATCACCACTGTACACAGAGGTCTGGGCTAGTGCCAAGCACGGCAAATGGTCCATACATCGCTGTTGAACACACTGGCCTGGAGTTAGGAGAAGAGTTTGTAGTTGGACTACCTGGCCTGAGCAGCCAAAGGCATCGCGTGCATCCTCCTGCGTGTGGCAGAGGTTGGTGAGTAAGTAAACTGGCGCTGAGATGAGAGCTGCAAAAGCAGGCTTGGAGGGAGAACGGGGTGGGAAGGCTGGGGAGCCAGCAAGCTCTGTCTATGGAATATCACCTCCCCCAGGGTCCTGGGGACATCCGCCAGCTTACCTAGAGCTGAGCAAGCGGAGACATCACAGTACTCCCATTTCACCATCTCACTGTTAGCTTTAATAAAGCACCAGGGCTTTTGGTCCCCATCTGGGTTTCTAAAGTGAAAAGTAAAACATAAGGAGGCTTAGAGAATTGGTGAACACAACCTCATCGAAGGACCGTTGGGTGACAGGCTGCCACCCCCTTGGGCTTCCCCTGGGACTCTTCTCCATGCCAATCCTCCAGCGGCTTAGCAAACCATGGCCTATGAGGCTGGTCCGTTTATTTGTCAAAATCTTAACTGCTAGAGGAGAGTCCCAAGGACCAGGAAGTAGTTCACAGGCCTTGGTCTGGACCCACAGGACACATCAAATTAGTCACAGGAAAGGAAATGAGATCCCCAGTGAAGACTCTTTGTCAGAGAAATAAAATAACCACAAAACCACAATGGGCTCTTCTGCCTGAACCCCTGAATTCCAGGTCTGTAATCCTCTGAGGAAAGTTGCCAAGGAAGCATCCATGGAGACAGCTCCATGGAGGGAGGAGCTGAAGGACTGTGCAGGCTGAAGGTAACTCACACTCATGCAAGGAGACACCTCTTATTTGTAGAGACAGCTTAAAGCCATGCAAAGGATCCTCTTTGCTTGTATAAAAATCACCTAAACCCTTGGCCTTGGTTAGGCAGTGGGAGAAGCCTGCTGAGTCCAGCACCGACTACTCAAGTGGAGTGGTATGAAGGCAGCTGAAGGGGAAGGGGGAACTCTAGTCATTCCCAGGGTGGTCTTGGCATTACCCCTACTCAGGAGAACTTGAGCATCCTGTGGTGGAGACCGCGTTCATCATTTACTCCTCTTTATTTCTCCCCTAAAGTTATGTGGGGCCAAGGGATGACTTCTGACCAGTGAAATGTCAATTGGGAGATAATGTGTCAGTTATAAATTGAGGTTTTTTTTTTAATGCTCCATTTTCTAATTTTTCATTCTCTTCCTGTCTTCCTGGGTATTTGAAAAATTATGTGGAGGTGAATCTCCTATCATCACTGGCCTCAGCCCACATAACACACATGGCAGCATTATTAAGAAACTGTGATTCCTTTAAGCCATTGAAATCTAGAGACTGTTTGTTTCAGCAGTGTGACCTCACTTGTCCTGAGTGGGGTAGTTTCCTTAACAGATGGCTAATGAGTCTCAATGATCTGTTTCAAAATGAAGCCACCAAGACTGAGCATAGAGAAGGTAACTTTTACCTGCAGAAGTTGTGCTCCCCGATCCCATGGCCCTCGGCATCCTCCATGAACATGTTGTAATTCTCCTGCATGAGGAGGTGGGAGTTCCAGTGCAGACACGTGTGCTGGTTGACTGTCCTGCTCACTCTGCCCCGGTAAGAGTAGCCATCACCGACATAGCAGTCATCAGAGCCTCAGAGAGAGCAGCGGAAGTGTGAGAACTGGGAGCAACCTTACACTGTTCCCAGGAAGGCTGGCGGGTATAGCAATGGTCAATAACACTGGTCCTGGATATTTATCACCTTGAAGTTTCATCACTAATTTCAAGGATATTCTAGATTCAACCCAGCTTGAAAATGTGAAATATACTAGCTGAGAAGGTAGCTGGGAATTTAATTTCTTAATTTTGGCTTACAAAAGAACTACCGGAGGGTAGCTTGAGGCCCAGATAAGCTCAAGTGTATTTGTTTGGCCTGCACTGCATACCCGATTATTGCTTTCTTTACCTGGAGCCAGATGCACCCTATACCCTAAGGATGGAAGGATGAACCAATATAATAAGAGCCTGGGTAGCTTGACTTAAACCACATTTTTACAACAAAACCCAAGCAGAAAAGGATTTTGAATGCCTCACTTGGCCACGGATTTCTGAAACAATGCTGCTGGAGACCGTACCTATTTCGCAGAATCTTCCCTTGAACTGCTCAGAACAGGTACAGCTGAACTTGGATCTCCGCCTATGGCGGGAGCAGAGGCCACCATTCTGGCAGGGATTTGGCCGGCACACCGGAAGCACTGTGAACACAGGAAGTGGGACCAGGACGGCTCATCAGGAGGCAAAATATCCACCTGAGGCGACGAGGAGATGTTGGTGGCATTTTTCTGGTGTCACCCTTTCACGAAAGATGGGTCACCAAATGGAAAGACAGACCCACTGAGACTCTAGGAAATGTACACATGAACCTTGAGAGGATGAGCAAACATGGATGAAGCAATAAACATGGAGGCCATGCCAAAAAAAGTGTGCATAAATGGGCCACTCGGTAAGAAATAACAAGAGGCATAGAAGGAATTTGGGGGTAGGTCTGCGTCAGGTTGGAACTTGGCTCTGGCCCTTTTTAGCTGTTCAGCCTTAAGCAACTTAGTTATCCTCTATGAGTTTCAGTTTCTGTAACTGTAAAACTCTTCCTTGCAGCTTTTGGGAGGATGTGAGAGAGAATATGAATGTTCTAGGACAGTGCCTGATTCACAGCAGTGACTCAATCAATATATACTAATTCCCAAGCTTGGCCCATCTCAGGAATATATCAGCACCTACTTCCTGGAGGAAGTGAGTTTCAAGGTGATTCTTTTTTGAATGAGAAGGTACAGAGGTCAGTCACTTCCCATTGGGCTCTCTGAGAATGATAGATTCATAAAAATCCTAGTTAAAAGGACCATCTTGGATGCCATGAAGACTTCAGATACATCTGGACTTCCACACCGTAAGATGCAGCAACTCCAGGCACAAGCAAGGGCAGAGAGAGCCCAGCAGAAAAGGAGTCTCCCCACTTACCTCTGGAACAGTCTGGACCTGTGTAAGGATGTTTGCAGGCACAGTGGTAGTAGGGAGGACTCTGGGTGATGAGACATTCGCCTTGGCCACATGGGTTGTTCCTGCACCTGGTTTCCACTGTAGGAGATCCATACAGAAGTACAAGGGAAAGTACAAGACAGTATTTGAAGCACACTTTACTTAGACACCCGTACAGCCCAATGTTTGTGTTGGGTGTGGCTGACCTAGCCCCGGGCCTTGTCCATGGTTCTGAAACACCATGCTGACCAAGGAGGAGGCGTCTCTCATCCCGGGATAGCAGGTGATTGCTTCCCGAGTCCCTTCTGCTGTTCATAGTCTGTATTTCTCCATCTTAATACAAACCTGGTTAAATTTTTATGCCTTAACAAACAAAGGTGCAATTTTAATCTCTCCATTTTGTAACTGACTTATTTCTATAGTTTATCATTCTTTTGAGAAGGGGCGGGATGAACCCAAATGCTGCACTTACACCCAATATTGTCATCCAGAAACATTTATTGAAGGGATATAAATTTTGAAAACAGAAGGAATTTTTCAGGAGGACAAAGAAGAAAAGAAGTCAACTGCAAAGCTGTGTGTAGTTGTAATAACCTACTCACTACCCCCTCCCCAGTTAGATGCTTGCTAAACTGGACAAGATCTGGGTTCTCCCTAGGGACACAATCACCCATAGGCGCTCTATTCCCAATGCTATGTGCCATGGCCTCATGTTGCCCAAAGAGCTTACCAGAGGCAGACACCTCCAGGCTGGTGTGTTAAAAGAACATTGGGACAGCAGTCAGGTGCCAGGGCTGTATTTCTACTCAACTCCTAACTAGCTGTGTGGTCACGAGCAAACGCCTGCCTTTTCTGGGTTCTCTGTCTCTGGTTTGAGTTTTATGTGGCCTGACAACCTGCCCACTGGCCCATTTGCGGACTATATCTCTCCGTTGCAGTCAGTCTAACCATTCAAAAAGCAAAGCCCTGAGTTTGGAATACAGTACATCTTGCTTGTACTCTAGCTCTCTTCCCTATTAGCCTCAATCTTTTCACCTGTGGGAAGAGGATGCAGTGAAGTGGTGCCTGTGACCCGCAAAGGAATCCATTAGGCATGGCCCAAGTGCAGTAATCATCCATTCCGTGGGTTCCCTGGGCCCTTCCTTACCACCTGGGCTTGGAGCGGGAATGGCTTCTTGTTTAAACCAAGAGAGGAGTGAATCTGGGGAAGATGCACTCACCATTCTGACACCTGTTCCCAGAGAAGGGGGGCTGACAGCTGCACCTGAAGGTGTCCCCGCTGATGACACAGTTCCCACCATGTTCACAGGGGTTGGACTGGCACGGATCTAAGACACACAGGCACAAGTCAAGGGCGAGAAGGGGCAGCTCATGAGAAACCCTCACTTCTCATCTGATTTCACTCTCCTGCTCCCAATGACTGGAGCCCCAGTGATTGAGCAAAGGGGGAAACAAATGTCATCCTTAAAAAGCAAGGAGAACTGAGGCTGCAAGGCCAGAGAGAGGGACTCAAGTGGGTAAGAGGAGAGGCAAGGAGGAATTGCTACTGTGTTCCCTCAGTCTGGCTTTGGATGGGGCTTTTCTCATTGAGAAACTCCTCATTCCCCTCATGAGTGTTTTTCTCCTCCCATCTCGCTGGGAGTGCATGGGTCTGTCTCTGATCCTGAAGGCATTTCACAAGCCCCAGACCTCCCCTACTTCCAGTGCCCAGGGGCGGAGGTCAGGAGTGGGGGAAAAAACCCACCGCTAATGAAACACAAGCTTTCTGAACATCAGGAGAGAAGACCAAAGGCAAGAGGGTGACAGAAGAATTGACGCTGAGGAGGAAATGACCCAGTGGCCTTCATCCTTCTTCAACTACTTGTTCAGTTAGGTTTTGTCATATTTCATCTGTGCCTTTGGCTTTTCATGGTTGTCTGAATGGATCTTCCCTTGGGGAATTCTTTATCCTTCTGTTCACACACATTGTTCTTTGGTTCAGGGACTAGGATCCCTGGGCCTGGCTCTTGTTTTGATGGTCCCTTCTGATGTTCCCCTGATGCCCTGTATCTTGGCCCTGCTTTCCTGGCCACTTCGTGCAGTTACACGGCTTTTATTCCAGCTGCCGAGTGCTTTCCATGCCTTCTCCTGGATTAGGCGCATGGTTTTGCTTGGACCCAGCATCTTATTTTCTTTTCTGTTCCACTGCTCTGGTTAAGAAGCCACAACACAAAGACACATATGGTAGAAGCTCATGTGTGTGAGTGCACACAACACACACACACCCTAACAATTGTGAAAAGTTCTTGAAGAGTGAAAAGAGAAAGAGAAACACAGCAAAGATGAAAGGGAAGGAAAGTCTCAAATGCAAACTTGTAAATGCTACAGCCCAGTGCTCAATGCCTACTTAGATTCTTCTGCATAATGAGATCCTAATCTGAGACCAAAGCTATGGAAATGACTTTGAACATGACTACCACTCGCAGTGTCAGGGGGACCTGGATGATGAGGCATAAACTTGCTGCAAGACCGTGGCCAAGCCAGATCCTTTTTTGGCATCACTTCATCTGTCATTTGAGGGTGGGGTATGTGGGCTCCAAAACCCTCTCAGTTCTCATGGTATAGGTTTCTCACTGAAACAAAGTTTTCAGTATCTATTTTTTGGTGCTGGCCAGAGAGGAGAGGAGAGAGAAGCCCTTGTATATAGCCACACATAAACTCCCCTGAGCACACTGCCCTCCTGTGAGCAGATCTGGTACACACCATCATCTGCATAATACCAGTCAGGGTTCTCAGAGTAGGCCAGTGAAGTATTGGTGTTTTCGTCCTGGATATTTTCCTCGTAGCTGTAATCGTAGAAGTCAGGAGTCCAATCTGTGGGGATGGGAACAGAATAGAAGAAACCCTTATCCTCAAATAAGACAGTAATTTATTTAGCTGAACACCTTTTCTCCAAGACTTCAAAGTCCTTGAGGAGGGATCACATGTCTTTACAGCTCTTCACACTGATAGGGATGGACAGAAAAGGTCAGGCCGGGTCACTTTTCATTTAGAGGATACTATGATCTAACAAGGCAATGTTGGCATTTGGCAGGGTCAGGAGCACCTGATTCAGTGGGGAGAAGTCAAGTCCTAACATTCCACTGACAGTGACCTTGGTGACCTTGGAAAAGCCATTACATTCTAGGTGCCTTGGTTTTTGCATCTTTGTACAAGAGGAAGAGGACTGAGGCCCAGCAGATCTCAAAGTTCTACATGGGGTCTTCCAGAGTCCGGTCATGTGGCACTTGAGTACTTCAGTGGAAAGTTCCGTGAATGCTATTTCTTGATAAGACTTTATTAAACATCTTAGTTTAATGAGGTGAAAGAAACCTGTTACTTTCCTTTTGGTCATGGCATCAACCTACTCCCAAGTTGAGTTGTATTTATTGAGCCTTTTCTATGTACCAGGCCCTCTGTTAAATATTTCCATGTACCATTTCATTTCATCCTCCTAAAAATCTAGGAAATACATTATCTGCTCTACTTTAAGCTGAGGAACCTGAGGTAGAAAGAGGTTAAGTAACTTGCCCAAGGTCACATGTATAATACATAGCAGGATCTAGACTAGCATAGTTGACCAGCATATAGCCACTAAATTTCACTAGTACAATGTCAATGCTCAAGTGCTTCCACTGTCAGCTTCCACTGCCTTGGCTATACTTAGACTTACCTTGGGACAGAGTGTCCAACCATACTTACTGAATATCCAGCCTACTAATGAGAACTCACCTAAGTACACCTTGAGAAAGTTCATGGGTCTTGCCTACTAAAAGAGAAGGCAGCATTTGGAGTTGACCACAATTGTAAACCTCATTCTAGACTTGACTTGGGAAAAACACGTAAGTGTAAGACTGGGTTCAAGCTCTTTGTCATCTGGGGCCTGGGAAGATGCTGGTAGCTCCATGGCCTGTGGAGAGAAGTTTGGGATTTGAAGAAAGTTAGGCTAATTTTGTTCTTTCCAGCAGATGAGACTGCAGCACATTGGCAAGTTGAAGCTGGAAGGAAGCTGTCCAGAGATGCATATGATAATGAGTCAGGGCGGGAATGCAGAGAGCAGACTTGAAAAGGGCTCCTACAGAGCCAGCTGATGGGTGGAGGCCTGCACTCTACCTAAGTCTGATTATCAACCACATTATCTTACTCATCCCTCAGTCATTCTGTTACAGTCTTTATCTCTTTGGCTTTTGAAAAATCAACTTTTGCACAATGGCTGTTTTATATTTCCCATTAAAATGGAACTATCTTTTTATTTCTTTTTTGAATACACCAACTCTGGTTCCTCGGCAAGAGTGCACCTCATTTATCACAGTGTCAAGTCAAGACTCCCTTTGCTTGCTCATTATTTCTCCCGAGCTGCTTTTCCTCACTATGAAAATGCTCCCAGAGGAGGCCACCTTTCCAAGGATGAGGATCTAGGTTGAAGATAAGGCCATTGTCTTCCTGGAGCAAATAAAGTTTCCTTCCATCTACCACAATAAAGCAGAGAAAGAGAGTGAGAAAGTTAGAAAAAATGTCATTCTGAGTTTGACACGAAAGATTTCAAACTGACATTTGGAAGAGACAATGAGATGACCGCATCATTTCTCTCCTCCTTGCTTTCTTTGGAAAATTTATTTTTGTTTTTCCAACAGGTGATTACAGATGAGAGCCCTTCAGTTTGCCCCTATAATTTCTCCTATCACTCCCATGGGTGGGGGTCAGACTCTTTAATCTTGACTATATCTTTAAGAACCCCACCCCCAAGATATTTGGAAATGGAGGGACATAGATTCTCACATGGAAGGGACAGTGTGACTTTTCCAGGTGATGGGAGATGGAAGAAATGTCTGTTGGAGGATTTAGACTTGAATCTTTACTTACAAGGTCTGGGGTACTATACATGGTCCCTCAGCGCATTCCTCCCTGGCACTGATCCTCTGCTCTGCTTTCTCAGCCACCGTGGACTAAGGAGCTGTGCTCTGCCACACTCTTCCACCATGCGGTTTCTGCCTTGGAGCCAGCTAACCATGGTCTGAAACCTCAGAAACTATGAACCAAATTAGACCTCTCCTCCTTTAAGTTGTAAGTGTCAGATATTGTGTCCCGGCCATGAGAAAGCTGCCTAACACAAGCTGAAGGCTTGGAATCGTATTCCTGCTAAGCAAGACAGTAAGCCCTCCCTATCCACTAGTGTCCAGAAACCTTGGCTGAAGTGATGAAACCCAGCAAGGGCTCAGTGGCCTCAGATTCCCAGGGCAGAAGCCGTCCGGCTGTGGAGGGCCATGCACGAATGACACCTAGGTCCTTTACGTTGGGGTGGCTTCAGGGTGTCACCTGGGAGGATTGCTCCACCTCCACACTTAAAGCTGATTTTGTTTGTTTTTTCCCATTACATTGGCACTCAATTCCACTGTCTATGTAAGAATTTGTATTGTGCATTTACAATGGGCCAAGTATGCTAGCAGGTGCCAGAAATATTGGAGACAGAGGAGAGTTACACAGTTACACAAGTAAGAATGAGATGTGGCGTTGTCCTCCAAAGAATCTCCAGTCTGAGTTGGTTGAAGGAAGAAAGCCAGCCCAAGAGAAAGAGTAAAAGGTGGTGAAGAAATAGGGAAGCCAAATGGGGCCAAGTCCAGGTCTGGGAGCCACACATTCTGTATGGAAACTCTGGCTTGGCTTAAGCCAATCTGATGACAAAGATACCTCATTTCTCCATCCCTTCCTGCACCGGTGTGACTCTGCAGCTCAGTTTCCCATCCGCTGTGTCTAGGTCAGCCTGCGACTAACACATTTGTGATGCTGTGCCAGCTCCAAGCCTGGGTTTGGGAAGTCTTCTTTCCTCCCTCTGCCCTCCCCTTCCTCTTTCCTCTCTTCTTTTCCTCCTCCTTCTCCTTCTATTCTTCTTCACCCTTCACTTCCTCCTTTCTCTCCCTGCTTCCCTCTCTCCCTGTGTGAACAGTTTGGCCTATTCTGCAAGGGCATAAGAGGGCATGTGAGGCAGCAGCAGGCCCAGTGGTCCCAGCTGAGCCTCAGACATATGAGAAAGCTTAGCAAAGATCAGTAAATTGAGAGTCCAGCCAAATCACTAGCTGGCTGCAGACAGATGGAAGTCCAGCTCTGATCAGCAGAGCCTGGTCCATACCAGAAGAACTGCTCAGCTGAACCCAACCAAGTTGCTAATCCAAAGAATTAATATACAAACACATGGGCAATGATTGGAGTCACAGAGTTTGGGATAGTGTAATTATGCAACATAGCAACAGATGCCCAGGGCTTGATGAATATCAGGTTGCAAGTGGGGTACTCATTTTAGGTACAGGAGTGTTCCCCGCTGGCCCAGAGTAGGGAAGAGTTTAGGTTGGTGGCTGAGTCTCAGATGGTGCCTCTCTCTGGGAATTAGCTTGGTCTATCTGATTCATTTCCGCTACTGGAGAGTTGGTGTTTTAAAAACAAGGGTTACTGGATTCTTCTCTCTACCCTATGATGCCCAGCATGAGTCAGCTGTTGGTTTGCAGATGGATTTTCCCTCTCTGGCCAAGCCTCCCTGCTTTCTGATTGGCTGGCACATAGCCCTGCCCATAGTGCTGGATTCTGCTAGAGCCAATGGGGAATTTAGGAAAGAGGCTAGGTGAGATTTGGCCCATAGGTATTTAGTGAAGAAAATTCCTGATGAGCTCTGTAGGAATCTACAAACTTGTTCAAATGTTCTGCTGAGTAGAAAGGGCTTCTGCCTGGCATGACATCTGGTTCCAATTCAGATTATTTAAATTCAGATTATTTGAGACCTTCTCTGGGCTGTCAAAAAGGAAGAGCTTTGTGAAAGAAAGGGTGGCTGTCAGAAGCATTTCATTTTAGATAAAAAATAAATCCATATGGATTTGTCTATCAGAGTCTGTTTCTAGAAATTATCGGGAAGAATGGTGAGAGTATCCTGACTTAACCCAAATAATCCGAATAGTAGGTTGTTAGGTATTGAATGTTTTCTATATGTCAGACACTAGATGAAGTAAATGTGGTTGAACACAATCCCATTTAACTTTGAAACAGTGCCTTGGCATCTGTATCATTATGCCTGCTCTACAAATCAAGAAAAACCAGGGCAGAAGGACGTGGTCTTCCAAACCAGGTTTACCTAACTCCAAATCCTGTTTGCCTTTTTATGAGCTGGGAGCCTTTGATGGGTTTGTGTTTCAGAAACTCCATGGATTTTTGCTTTCAGGAAGTTACATGGATTGAGAAATTTTCTTTACTACATGCTCCCAGTGCCCCGACCAGGATCACTGTGGCCCATGTTCAGGGTCTCTCCACAAATGCTCAGAGTTCCTGCAATGGGGATTTCGAAGCTGCTCCAGTTAAAGAGCTTGCCAGATGTGTGGAACGGAATAAAAATCTCCAGAATGTCATCCCAGTTGGCGTCATCCATCACCGTGGCATGGACAGCTCCTCCGAGAGGCCCCCCAGGCCCCAGCCCTGTCGGACTGCATTTGACACTTCCAGTCTGGCTGACGGGGCAAGGCCAGCCAAGAGCCTTGCTGGCAGGGAGCGGGACAGTTGATGGATGGGCTCAGCCCATGGCGCTGGGCAGAGCCAACCTAGCTTTGAAGAGTCATTTCTGCAGGCCTGTTGGCTGTGTGTCACTTGCTTTGGGGAGGCAGGCAGGGTCTGCACCATTTGATGGCCACGTCCCCTGGCATCACCCACAGGGGACCATGGACCTGGCACCTTCTGCTTTAGCCAGGCCCTGCCACACACTGTGTCCAGCAAGACCAACGAAAGCAACAGTATGCCTGTGGGCATGAGTGCATGAGCTCAGGCCTCTTTGTTGTGCTGTTGTCTGAAGCCAGCAGGGATCTGGCAAATTCCATCAAAGCACAACCCTAGAGTGCAATTAAATCAGGCACCTGACACGGATGCTCTTAAAACCTAAGCTGCCCTTCACAGGTAGGCCCAGCCACTGCATCTCACCTGCTCCACAGCCAGGGGCTGACAGAACAGGTCCAGATGGACTCTGGGGGTCAGGGGGAGGCCTGCTGCAGGGCCCCTTCATTTGTTCACCAAATTCTCAGAAGCTGTTGGCAGGGTTTCTTTAGAGCCTAGATTCTCAGGATGCTAAGTCCAAGACTCTCCACTCCCTCCTTTCTATGTTGTTTTTCAACCTGCACTTAAATATCTCTGGTGATGGGGAACTCATTACCTCCCCAGAGCCCAACAGCCCATTCAGATATGACCCTTCAATTTTCAATATATCGAATTAAAGCAATAAACCTTATGGACACATGGAATGAATCCACTCCCTTTTCTGTGATCTCTGCCTTGCAGTTGTTCTAATTGTTCACTGAGCAGTTCCAGGGTGTCATAAACTCATTGTAGACACATTTTCCAACTTTCTGGAAGATGGCAGCGGTCTGTTTTGAGGTAGAGATATTTCTGAATTCCTACAAAGTTTGCTTGTAGTCCAGGGATGGGTCTGCTTCACTGGAAAACAGCAAGGTCCCTTGAGTCTTGCCCCTGTCTGGTCCTGTGTTGCCCCACAGCCTGTGTCTGACACTAGGGCCCGAGGAGTCCTTGAGGGAGAGGTAGCCTTGGCAGCCCCTGGCCGGGGGCTATCTGGAGCCACGTGCAGAGGGGCTGAGGTCATCAGCAAGGGCAGCCCCTGGATCTGGGCCTTCTGGAAGCTGACAGAATATTGAAGACTCTTGTTCCCTTTGGAGAAAGATGCAGATTCTCTCAAAAACACACATGCCATGCTTCTGTGTATTTCTTCTGTTCCATTCCCTGAGCCCTGCTCATAAAAAGGCAAACAGGACTTGGAGTTAGGTAAACCTGGTTCGGAAGACCACGTCCTTCTGCCCTGGTTTTTCTTGATCTGTAGAGCAGGCATAGTGATACAGATGCCAAGGCACTGTTTCAAAGTTAAATGGGATTGTGTTCAACCACATTTACTTCATCTAGTGTCTGACATATAGAAAACATTCAATACGTAACAACCTATTATTCGGATTATTCGGGTTAAGTCAGGATACTCTCACCATTCCCTGGCCTCATTCACTCTGAGTCTCTACCATCCAGAGTTTCGCTGCTGGGAGCATTGACTTCCAGCTGCACTTGGCCAAGTCACCACTATCTTTGCTCCACATAAATCCTCGATGATGGCAGAGACATAACCAGAGCCTCCTGTGCCAGCCTCTGGTCTTCTGGGGTGAGCAGCCCAAGGCCCTACCCTTGGGGATCTCAGCCTCTGGCTAAATGGAACAGTGGATGGAGTTTCCTCCTGGGAATCCAAGCAGCTAAGAGAGCCTGGGACCCCCATTGGATGGGGGACACCGTGAGCCTCAGACAGAAACAACAGTGGGCTGACACCAGGCCCAAGTCATCCCTGGGCTGCTGGCCACATCTCCCAGGTCTCCCAGGGGTGGAGGGTGTGTGCATACACCAAGCCTGCCAGGAGCTGGCCATTGCTCAGGCACACCTTGATTTCCCTCTTCATCACATCTCAACCACCAATGGGAACAAGATGCTGCTCCTCTTTGGGGCTTCCTCCCTGCCTCTGTAAAATCAAGGAATTAAACTACATTAGCAGTTTTCCTCCTGTGGTCCTGAGACTGGCCACGAGGGGTGTCACAGGCCACTGGAAGTCAGGGAAAGTGCTGAGCAAATGCCACGTTTCCAAGCCCATGCTCGGAAGGGTCTGTGCTATTTCTGAACCAGTTCAACCCCAAGGTCCCTCTGATACTTCCCTGTTTGGATCCTTCCTCTGCCCCAGAACCAGTCTGTGGTGGGTGGGAAGCCCTGGGGTGATCAGCACACGCACCTGGGTCCAGGTCGTGGGGCAACAGCTTCAAGAAGAACTGAAAAACAAAGTGACACAGAGCAGAGCGCGGTGAGTCAAGCAGGGGCTGAGCAGCTGTGAGCCAGAGAGGCCCATATCCATATCGAAGAGCCCTGGGCATCTTCCAGATTGGAATCGCTCACCACACCAGGGAACAAGCTGCCTAGGACTGCTGTCCTCGTCAGTTATGGTGGTTGTGCTACTCTGCCCGACTGTGCACTGGTGCCCGCTGTTCTTTTACAACCCTCTTGGCCTTGCTCAAGAGGAGACAATGGAGACTCAGATGTCACACAGCTGTGGTAAGATTAGGATTTATGCTCAATTCTCAGTGGTTTCTTTGGGTGACAGCCCTCCTGGAGATCAGAAAGAGTTGCACACTTAAATCTCTCCAGAGACTTCCCATTGTTCTTGGGGTAGAATACAAACCCCTGCCGTGACCTGCAAGCCTCCTTCCATACTTCTCTCTCCCACCATTCCCTACTCAGCTCCAGCCACATCTGGTTTCAAAATGGTGTGAGCCAAATTCCCCCTCTCCCCAGGCTGTCTGTACTGACTGTTCCCTCTGCCTGAGCCTCTTCTGTGACTTTCACTAGGTCTCAGTTTAAATGTCGCCTTCTCAAGATGCCCTTTTCTAAATACCCTATCAGTATGACATTCCCAAACTGCCATTATTTTCTTTCTGCACCTGCTTGTTCCCTCCACGGTCCTTTATTACAGTAGACCGTTTTACGTTTATTTGCGTGTCCTCTGTCTCTCACATCAGACCCTGTCTTCCAGAAAGGCAGGCATCTGGTCTGCTTCGTCACTGATGAATTTTCCAACATGTATTCAGCACAGTACTTAGCACATGGCATCCCTCAAAAATTTTTTCTGAATAAATAAATAATGAGTTCCTTTTAGCACATAGCACTTAGCAGGAAAAGAAAGTTTTGCTTATCTAATAACTGGAATGTGTTCTTTTATTTACATCAAAGATCAGCACATTAAGACCCTAGGGCAAAGCCTCCCAGTTGTGTTTTTATAAATAAAGTTTTATTGGAAAACAGTCATGCTCGTTTGTTTACATTTTTTATAGCTGCTTTTGTGCTACAACAGCACTCTGTGACAGAGAAAATGCAGTTGAAAAATGTACTATCTGGCACTTTCCAGAAAAAGCTTTCTGACCTCTGATTGAGAAAGTGAAAGCTCTATCACTTGACAGGTTTTCCTTTAGGTCAGGACTGCAGAGAGCTGAGCTTTACGGAATGCATCTTCCTGTTGGTGCCCACATAAATCACACCCTTTGATATGTTTGCTTCTCTATCCTCAGTGGGAGTTTTGACTTTCTGTTTTATTGTGGATTCCTTAAGTAGTTCAAGAAAGTAGGCAGATGACAAATTAGAAAGAAAAATAGAAAGGAAAAATACACCTGATATGATGTACTGAGCACAGGACATCGACAAATAGCACTCTTGACAAAAAAAAAAAATGCATATTTTAAATCTACTTGTTCTGGGTGTGGTGGTGCAGGTCTGTAATCCCAGGACTTGGGAGGTGGAGGCAGGAGAATTGTCATGAATTTGAGGTCAACCTGGGCTACATAATGAGTTCAAGGCCAGCCTGAACTACATAGCAAGACTCTGTCTCAAAAAAGAAAAACCTACTCGTGAGTCACACCATGGATCCAAACTGTGAGATCCAAGCTGTGGTCATGCCACAAAGCAATTAGCCTGACTCTACAAAAATATGTCATAAAAGACAGAAAAGATGGAGGGCTACACTTTATTAAGAGACATAACCAAAAATCTTTGGTTAATCCATAATCTTTGATTGGATCCTGGATTTTTAAAAAAGCTATAAAGGGTACTACTGAGACAATTGGGAGATGTAAATATAAACTTTTGTTAGATAGTCTTACTGTGTTAATGTTGATTTTTTGAGAGTTGGTAATGGTATTTTAACTCTATAGGAAAATGTGCTTGGTTTCTTTTTTTCCAGTACTGAGTATTTGGAAAGTGCACATAGGGTTACTGCACCTCTGAGTTATATCCCCACTCATTTTTATATTAAGACAGGGCATCACTAAGTTCCCCAGACTGGTTCAAACTTGCTATGCTCTTACCTCAGCTCCCCCTGGGCAGCTGGTATTACAGGCATGCACCACTGCACCCAGTATAAATGTGCTTACTCTCGGGAGATGCATACTGAAGTGCAATTTGATATCTGCTCTCTTTTTGCAAGTGATTCAGCAAATAAAGCATAACATAACAGACACACACATACAAGAGAATGAGAGATCATAAAGGTGGCAAAATATCATCAACTGTTCCTCTATCTATCTGGATAAAAGATATTCATTGTGTTGTTCTTTCTGTTTTACTGTAGGTTTGGAAAATTACCAATAGAAGTTCTCTGAGACTGTCTCTGTTGATTACCTCATGGTCCCCCAGCCCTGCTTCTACAGGGAACAGACAAGGGACAAGTGTTTGGTTTGGCAGGGTGGGAGGGGGTGAATAGGGGGCTTTGTTGAAAGGGGCCGTTCAGGTCTCAAAGGTATGGGAATCCTGGGCCTGGGGGCTTGAACAGGGACCACCTGCCATGGGCACTTTGGGTATGTGTGCTAGGGCCAGCCTGCTCTTCCTGAATTCTTGCATTTCAGCTGAGAAGGACGGGCCAGGACAGGAGAGGGGACTCTGGGGCATATCCTTTCTCAGGACCTGGAGGGGAAGGGCCCTGCAGAACCTGCATCCCAGGCCCGAATCAAATCTTGGCTCTAGTTGGAGCCTGAGTGGCCAGGCATCATGCTTTTCATGGCCAGCAGGTGGCATATGTGCCCTTCCTACATGTCAGCGCTAGAGGGAAACCAAACCTAACAAATTTGAACTTCCTTCCGGGTGAAGCTGGCTCATCAGACCCTCAGCCCTCAGGGAGCCCAGGCTGCCACTGTCTGGTTATGGGGGGTGAATGAGTCGCTCTGTGATTCACTGGGTCCACTCAGAGAGGCCATGGTCCAAGGTGGAGGCTGGATATTGGGGTTCCCTGTGGGAGAGGCCTGGACGATGGGACAGGTAGGAAGGTGGACACAGTGTGGCTTTCTTTCGTCCTGTCATCCTATTCCATCTTTCCACAGAGACAGCAAAATTAAAGAAAAACTCTTACTCCCGAAACTTGCAATCCAGAGGAAGATTAATGTAGGAAGAGGAGGCAGAGGAGAACTAAGAAGGAGAAGGGATAAGAACGATGATCTCAGTTCACATTCTTTAAGAGCTGACAGTGAGCCAGGGACTGTGTGAAATGTTTTACGTGTGTTTTGTCTTGCTTATTACACACCATGCTCCCTAAGTTAGGTATGTAATTATGTCCATTTTGAAGGTGAGTAAACTGTGGCTTGCAGAGATTAAGTTGTCCGCAATGCTAATAAGTTCCAGAGCTGGACTATACTAGAGTCAGTCTTCCATCAGGGCCCCTGCTCTGGTTGGGCTTGCTCTCAGGAATGAGGGAACCACAGACTGCGCGTGCTGTAACAAAAGGACGGAGGAGAAAGAGACAGGGGATCTCCTAAGCCTGAAAGAAGCCAGTGTCGAGCTAGGCTGAGCGGCAGTCGCCTGTCCTTAGACAGCTCTATGTAAAACCCGTCCACACTGGCCCGGGCCTGGCAGGCCACAGAGAGACCATCTGAGCCTCGGCCAGTCCACATCTCAGTGAACATCTCCATCCAGATCAAAAGGCACATGAGGTGGTGCCTACTTCTCTGGCCACCTCCATTCCCAATGTCAATGGGGCTAAAACCGCATGTGATCCCAAATGACCCAGCTGCCTCCGGAGAGCAGGCATGGCTGATTCTCACACATGGAAAAGTGGGTGTGCAATGAATTTGGAAAGACCGCTCTGGGGCCACTTCCCTTCCTTCCACCTCATGCTTGGGCTTCATCTATCCGTAGATCCACAGTTCAGGCCTTTGACCTTCCCAAGGCCAGAAGCAGGCCCCTGACAATGTTAGACTCCCAGCCACTCCTGAGCTTGTCTCAGGTCTGGTGTCTTCTAGGAAATGGTTAGTAAGAGAAGAAGGGACAGATCTGAGCCTCAGTGGTTTATAGTATAATTTTGTTGAGGGCCAGGGGTTATTGGGCCTAATCTGTTTTGTCCTATCTCTAATCTGGAGATTATTTCAACTCAGGTTCTTCCTTCTACACCTTCTGGTGTCTTTCTTCTACACCTTCTGGAAAACAAACCAAAAGGGCTGAAGCTGAAAGTCTGAGTTGAGGTGCTCCAGAATTATATATAGTTGGCAGAAAATGTCCTCAGACAATTGGGAGACAGTGGAGAGTACATGGGGCTGGATCTCTTCGTGAGGCTGGAGGGTCAGCTCAGACGAGCCAAGAGCAGAGAAATCTGCCTCCTAGTAGATAAAAGGCTGGGACCCATCCCAGCCATCCTTCCTCCATGGGCGTTCTGCCAGCTAGTTGGTAGATGTTGCCCGCCACCAGGGAAAGACTGCATCGTGCCCAAGGGCAGGGGGCTGGAGAAAGCTGTGTGCCATGGCCAAGCCTGGCTGCAGCTGCTGGGCTGGAAGGCACAGACCGGGCGAGTGCACACAGGATAACAGGGCCGGCCCCACTGTGGGCACAGCTCCGGGTTGGAGTGCACAGTGGAGGTGGAGGAGGACAGTGATGGCCAGTGTGCAGGTCACCCCACAAAACCCTACTGCTGGTTCCTGCAGGGAGCGTCAGCACTATACATATGTGGCCATCATCATGGGTGTGAAGTGGTGCCATTCCACACAGGGTCATTTTATGTGGTACCAGGGACCGAACCAAGGCTTTCACACTGAGCTATATCTCCAGGCCTTTTCTTTTTCTTTTTTTTTTTTTTTGTTTTGCTTTTTTTGGTACCTGGGATCAAACTTGCAACCCTGCACTTGTGAGGCAGGCGGCAGCACAGCAGCCCTTTTCTTATATATATATTTAAAAAATTTTGATACAGTTGTCTCACTAAGGTGCTAAGTTGCCCACACTGGGCTCAAGCTTGCCAGCCTCTTGC